CCCCCAGGTCTGTTTTAAGTCAGGCTAAGCAAAAGACTCCACTGATTTTACCTGGTTTTGAAGCCGTTGATGCACCAGATGATTGCAGTGGACAGTATACGGTACGTTCAGTGTTTCGTTCAGCACAAATGATTGTCCCTACTGTGATGTAATATGTAAAGAACAGAACTGTAAACACAGTAAATTTAGCTCAGTCAAACATGTTGGTTTTTCTTTCGTTCCTAATTGAGTTCTAAACATGTTGTGTTCTCTAATCAGGGTGAGAGTTCTCAGCTGGACCCACAGATCAGCGGGGTAAAGATGACCTCTGTGGGAAAGAGGGACTCTCTTCTGGCGAGGGCAGAAGAGCTTAAAGGAAGAGGCTCTGCAACTGCAGCAAAGCCGATGTCTGTAAGCCATGTGAAAATGCATCAAAACTTGAAAATATCAATGGTGGCTCTTAATTAGCAACCAGGTCCCTCAATTCACCTGTTGCCTCTTTAGGTAAAGCTGGATTTTGGATCACCCAAGCCCTTGAAGCGAGACGCTATTGAGGAGGCGGCATCAGTGGATTTTGTTTTTATTCCCCCTGAGACAAAGGAGAGAGTGCTAACTGAGCACCAGAAAGAGGTCAAAAGGACTAAACGGTAGGTTTGGTCACAGTTTTTTGTGGTGTAGCAGATCTCTAAAATTGTGAAGGCAGCTTTTTTCCCTTTCATTTCATGTGAATCCTAGTGATGTCTCTGTGGTCATATCATCGTTAAGCTTCTTTAAGCTTTTTGAAAATAAGAAATTGTCAAGACTGATGTTTTTCCTGTCTTGACTCTAAATTCTGCCTTTATTTGTTTGCATAAGGGTTGACATTCCTGCACTGTATAATAATCTGGATGTCTCCCTGGACACCACAGCCTTTTCACAGTATACTCAGAGTCAGGAAGAGTCCATGTATGTATTGGAATTATGGCTTTGTTTTTGTTTTACATTTTTGTTTGTTTTATTTATATATATATATATATATATATATATATATATACAGTGGGACCCTGTTTTATTTAAAGAACAGGGATCTATCAACGTTTTATCATGTTTGTGGAAGTGTATCATGGCACAAACAATTGAGATCTCTGAGGACCTCAGAAAAAGAGTTGGTGTTGCTCATCAGGCTAGAAAAGGTTTCAAAGCCATCTCTAAAGAGTTTGGACTCCACCAATCCACAGTCAGACAGACAGTTCTGTCCGAGAACTGAATCTCAAAGAGAAAGTGGGTCATGCAGCAAGACCGTTGTCTCAAGCACACAAGTCGTTCTACCAAAGAATGGTTAAAGAAGAACAAAGTTAATGTTTTGGAATGACGGAGTCAAATTCCGGACCTTAATCCAATTGAAATTTTGTGGAAGGACCTGAAGCAAGCAGTTCATAGGAGGAAACTAGAGATGCACCGATTGACCGGCCAGTAATCGGAATCGGCCGATTTTTCGCATGACTGGCCCAGATCGGTGATCGGCCGGTCAGTCTCACGTCTTGCCGATTCTGAGCCAATCCTTTTATTGCCAGCGGCGCAGGCAATGACGTCACAGCCACGCGCACACTCACAGTCGCGTGTAAACATGTCGTTTCAATTTTAATTGCATTTAATTTTAATTGCATTCAGTGTAAACGGTGACTGATAATGTATTTATGTCGTGCCAGATGAGGCTTGCACAGCCTGAGGGAATGTGTGAGACAGACAGCACACACAAAGTAACTCACAGAAATTTATAGATGCATACTGCGGTAGAAAAATAAGATATTTACAAAATATGATTTAGGTAAACAACATTATACGGCCATGATGTTTCCCCGAATATCAATATCAACACGATTGCAATGTGACACTGATTTTATACAATAGTATTTCAATAAACAAGAAGTTAAAATTAAGTGACTTAGATTTTTAGACAAAATATTGACTCTTTTTGCTCAATTTCGCTGACGAAAATAGTTCTGATCAAAGCCACAGCAGAACTGTTTTGTGTCTCTGAGCAACACACAGCGGTGTTTCGATACTGAATGAATCCACGTTTTTGAACGAATCGAGTGAGTCAATGATTCAGTGGCCCATTCATAAGGACAGTCACTTGCCTCGTTTCTGAATGAATCAGCTGTTTGAATGAATCGGTTGAATGAATGAATAAATGACTCACTCATTAAAACCAACATTTGCCGCCACCTACTGGTGGTTTAGTCATATTTAAAAGTATCGTTGCATTTTTAACCCAAAGAGATATTCTTTATAAAAGTTAAGACTCGTCCACGCCCTCCTAAATCGGCTCGTTTAAACACGCACCGACATGTCTACGTCACTGTGTGGGAAGATTTGCATAACACCGCACAAATGTTCACGCAAGAAGCTGTAACTTTGATTCTCGCTGTAGTTTTGTTGCCGCCGCCGCCATGTCGTGGAGACGCTGTGTGTTTTATGAAAGTGAAACTACTTTGTTTGGCCTTTCAAAAGAGGACACAACTAGAAAATCAGTGGTTAAGTTGTATTTACAACACTGTTCCAGAACAGTTCCAACCCAAATATTCAGATGTGAGCAACGCATTTTATGGAGGACAAGGACTGTTTCCCGGGAGAGTAGCCTACAATGCCGGTGTTCTGACAAATAATGCTGACTCACAGCCTGTAAGTACACTTTCATATTTAAAGGATTTGCCACTGACTATTCAAACACAAGTTTTGAGCAGTGTAGAGTAGCGCTTGTTGTTTGTCATTTCTCCGATCACAAATGCAGACATGGTTTTATGTTTGGGACACGGCATCATATGGTAAGGGGCTTATTTCCGTCAAACACTTGATGTATTCGGCCAATCACAACGCACTGGATAGCTGGCCAATCAGAGCACACCTCGCTTTTCAGAACGATGAGCTTTGTAAAAATCTACGAGTTTCAGAAAGGCGGGGCATAGAGGAGAAACAATAATGTACAGTATGTGGAAAATAATGTGTTTTTTCAACCTTAAACCGCATTAACGCTTAAAACACATTTCATTACACCAAATACACAAAATAATATACTTTTTAGAAGCATCATATGACCCCTTTAAGGTCTTTCAACATTTATTTGTGTTTAAAAAATACGTAAAACATTAATCTTATAAAAATTATTATGCATTTGAAATTGTGCAGTGTAAATGCATTTATTGCACCTCAGCTTCATCAAAACTGTCTGTTTAAATGCATCTAATGCCACTTCAGATGCAGATTCTGTTTCCTCAGAAGTGGAAAGATAGAGTTTGTTAATACTAATTTCATTTGAATGTTAACAACTCTACAGTTTCGTATTATTCTAACTGAATTAATTGAAACAAAGTAAGAATTTGATGTGAAAGATGACACATTTAATAAGGTTAGGAGAAAAAAATGACCATTTATAAACACAGTTGGAAATTACACCTGTTTTGTTACATACAGCAACTCATTTTAAGTTTACTATTTCTTCCTCTTTCCAGTCACAGAGCACTTTATTTTGAGAGTTGTTTAAGTGAGAGAAAATCTGTAACTTAGTCCAGATTGGGGGAATTGTAATGTTTAATCATTTCTTTTATGTAAATAATTTTTTGCATTGAAATTTGCATAGATTTTTGTTTGTATATGCTGTCAATTATAGTTCTAATCGGCTAAGAAAATTGCAATCGGTGCATCTCTAGAGGAAACCCACCAACATCACAGAGTTGAAGTGGTTCTGTACTGAGGAATGGGCTAAAATTCCTACAAGCCGTTGTGCAGGACTGATCAGCAGTTACAAGAAACGTTACTGCTGCAAAAGGGGGTCACACCAGATGCTGAAAGCAAAGATTCACATACTTTTGCCACTCACAAATATTTAACACCAGATAATTTTTCTCAATAAATAAATGACAAAGTATATATTGTTGTCTCCTTTGTTTGATTGGATTATCTTTGTCTACTTTCAGGATTTGTGTGAAAATCTAATTATGTTTTGGGTCATATTTATGCAGAAATATAGAAAATTCTAAAGGGTTCACAAACTTTCAAGCAGCACTGTATTTTTGTCTCCTTTGTTTGATTGGATTCCCTTTGTCTACTTTCAGGATTTGTGTGAAAATCTAAATATGTTTTGGGTCATATTTATGCAGAAATATAGAAAATTCTACTATTTATACTATATCTTCTAAAATATATATATATATATATATATATCATTTTTTTTTTTTTTTACTCCCTGTAAACATGTTTTAGGGACAAATTGACAAATGATGAAAAGGATCAACCAGAGGAAGATGCTGATTTTCAGCTAAAGGTAAAACAGCGTTTTTAAACTGGCACTGCAGTTTTGATTGTGGAGGATATGCACGCATGCTTTTTGATAAAGGTATTAATTGGTTCTAATGTTGTTTCCTTCCCCCAAGGAGGTTGCCTCAACTGAGGAACCAACCACAGATGTTAAACTAACCCAAGAAGGCACTGGGTCGGTTGTAGAAACACCAGAGAAAGCTACACAAAATAAAGATAAAACTTCAGAGAAGAATCAATCACCATCCAGTGACATCTCAGTTGATGTGAGTGGGCATGAGAAAAGTGGACTTGAGGGGACCAGCCCTAATGTTTCAGGTTCATCTGATATGATATCAGGTACACCACCTAAACCCAATAGGAGGCGTCAGTCTTTCATAACCTTAGAGAAATATGTTGATGGGAAATCACCAAGTCCTGCAAGTGTTGCATTTACTGGTCCGCACATTCGCAAATCAAGTAGACTGAGTTCTTCAAAGGCATTGGAGGCTACTCCAAATGACTCACAACTTCAGACTACAAAAGAGGACTCTCGAAAGAGAAGCAGCACTGACCCATCTGCTCAAAATGAGGAAGTAAAAGATAAGATGTCAACAGGTCATCGTGGTGAAGGTACAGATGAAGAAGAGGATGATGTGGTCCCAGATATCCAGACCCAATTATCTGGTGACACGTCAGGTGATAAGAAAAGTCCTGTGTCCAAAGCCAGTGTAGAGGAACAAGATTCTCCTGAAAAAGATTCACAGAGTCTTGCTGATTCTCAAGCTAGTCAAGAACCAAGAAGGTCAGGCAGACGGCGAAGTAAACCTGTACGCCCAGGGGAAGATCCAGGGGAGATGAAAAGCAGATGTCAAGAACAAGTTGCAGATTCTGCGGTGACAAATACACAGAAGCACATACCGTCCCCAACAATTAGCATTTTGACAGGAAGAAGTACGGTTATTGAGGACCGTAAATTTGGAGATCAGTTGAACACTAAAGGAATAGAAGGAGAGCTTAGCCAAAGTAATTCACAGATTTCCTCTGCAGAATCTTCACAGGCACTTCCACAGGTTCCAATATTTATGCTTGGTAAGAAAGAGCCAAGCCAGACTGTGTCCTCTTCTGATAGTTCTCCTGTAACTCAATCGGATGGCCAAAGCAAAGAGCGATCGTCAACTCTCAATGAGCCTGAAGGTTTGTCACCGGGTAAACCTATGAGGAAGACTAGAGCGCACCTTGAGGAATCAACAGACAAGGAGGCAGATGAAAACTCACAAAACGATCCTCATAATGCTGCATCCACTTTGAAAAAGAAACATTCACAGACACCTCTTTCCGATTCTGAGGCTGATGGCCAGCAAACTGCCCGAACGCGAAGAACAAGGAGATCTGAATCTCAATTACTGGAGCTGGCTGGTTCGCAGACCAAAGACGACTTAAGTCAGACAGACTCTCAAACACTGACAATGGTGAAGGGTAGAGCTATGCGAAGGAGAACTGCAGAAGAAGAGACCGACTATAGTATTAGAGATGCCACATCAACTGTAAATGCTGAGGAGTTAAGTGCAAGCCAAGATTCCTCAGAAGGTCTTGGTAGATATAGAACTCGACGCTCTAAAGGTTTGTTGGCTCCTACCGACAACACAGAGTCTGAAAACTCTGATAGCCGACAAGATGGACCAAGGCCTAAAAAGAGGCCGCGCAAAACATTATCCACAGAGGTGCTGCCAGTTGCCACAGAGCACATAGTTACCGAGATGGGGCCAGATAAGGAGGGTATTGATGTTTCAATGGAGATGTCACAGGACGAGGCAGATATTGAAACTAGTTTGAATATTTTAGTCATTGAGACCGAAGAACTTGAGCAAAAGTACAAAGAAGAGGTCCCTGCCCCTGATGGTGTACCACATGAACAGATTACCTCGGAAAAAGAAGCAGATGATGTCAAAATTCAGATAGAACTGAAGACTGAAACTTACACAGATGAGAAGGAGGTCATTAGTGAGAAAGCAGAAGGTGAAGAATTGAATTCATCTTCACAGATTGGATTGGAAGATTTAATCGAGAAGACTAATGTTCCGCGTAAATGTCCACATACCAGGGGACGGGGCCGTGGGCGTAGACGATCTAGAAGCTGCAACTGCTTTTCAAACAACCGTGATGTGTTCTCACAGGGCAGTGACTTCCAAGAATCGCAGGATCTGAAAAGTGAGCAGGTTCCACTTGTCACTGATGCCCTGAACTCTCAACCTGAGCAGTCAAGCTCAACATCCGTAGCAGAGAAAAGCGAGAGCTCAGGAATTGCAGATGTCCCAGATGCTGATTTTCAGCCATTTTCAGCATTGCCTGCTCAATTCCCATCTGAGGTTTTCCCTTCTGAAAGTCCCATTGCAAAGCTTGGTGTAATTGTTTCTCAGCTGTCTGAAGCAGAGGAAGGAACACAGCTTGAATCATCCAAACCAACAGGTGAATCAAACAAGGAGCATGTAGAGCTCCTGGAGGCAGAGACAAAGCATTTGGAGAGTGCAGAAGATGTCAAAATTAAGAGAGAACTGAAGACTGAAACTGATACAGATGAGAAGGTCATTAGTGAGAAAGCAGAAGGTGAAGAATTGAATTCATCTTCACAGATTGGATTGGAAGATTTAATCGAGAAGACTAATGTTCCGCATAAATGTCCACATACCAGGGGACGGGGCCGTGGGCGTAGACGATCTAGAAGCTGCAACTGCTTTTCAAACAACCGTGATGTGTTCTTACAGGGCAGTGACTTCCAAGAATCGCAGGATCTGAAAAGTGAGCAGGTTCCACTTGTCACTGATGCCCTGAACTCTCAACCTGATGAGGTTTTCCCTTCTGAAAGTCCCATTGCAAAGCTTGGTGTAATTGTTTCTCAGCTGTCTGAAGCAGAGGAAGGAACACAGCTTGAATCATCCAAACCAACAGGTGAATCAAACAAGGAGCATGTAGAGCTCCCAGAGGCCGAGACAAAGCAGTTGGAGAGTGCAGAAGATGTCAAAATTAAGATAGAACTGAAGACTGAAACTGATACAGATGAGAAGGAGGTCATTAGTGAGAAAGCAGAAGGTGAAGAATTGAATTCATCTTCACAGATTGGATCGGAAGATTTAATCGAGAAGACTAATGTTCCGCGTAAATGTCCACATACCAGGGGACGGGGCCGTGGGCGTAGACGATCTAGAAGCTGCAACTGCTTTTCAAACAACCGTGATGTGTTCTTACAGGGCAGTGACTTCCAAGAATCGCAGGATCTGAAAAGTGAGCAGGTTCCACTTGTCACTGATGCCCTGAACTCTCAACCTGAGCAGTCAAGCTCAACATCTGTAGCAGAGAAAAGCGAGAGCTCCGGAATTGCAGATGTCCCAGATGCTGATTTTCAGCCATTTTCAGCCTTGCCTGCTCAACTCCCATCTGAGGTTTTCCTTTCTGAAAGTCCCATTGCAAAGCTTGGTGTAATTGTTTCTCAGCTGTCTGAAGCAGAGGAAGGAACACAGGCTGAATCATCCAAACCAACAGGTGAATCAAACAAGGAGCATGTAGAGCTCCTGGAGGCAGAGACAAAGCAGTTGGAGAGTTCTGGGTGCACAGGTAGTCAAAAGCACAAAGAAGAAGATGGATTGGAAAACACTTCAGTAAGTCAAGAACCTCTCCAGAGTTCAACACCTCAAGACACATCTCCAAGTCAAGGACGCCCAGTGGAAGATGCACCTAAATGCCAAGAGCAGCTAGAGTCTTCCCGTGTCCAGCAGGAGGATGCAGTTAACCCAGCAGTGAAGGAAAGTGAAGACCTTGCTGTTTCTGAGTCAAATGGCAAAGAATTGCTTGACAAGGATGTTGCTCTTGTTGAGAAGGATGAAGACACTCAGATAGACAACCGTGATCCTCCTGTGTACCCACAAGAAGAGATGTCTGTACCTCCTGAAAGTAGTACCTCTGGAGCCTGCTTAGATTCACCACCCAAGCCTAAACCTTTGGACGCTCTTAGTGGCGAGCTGGAGCCTGGCCAGAGTCCGAGCAGAAACCGATCTAGTGTCTGGTCTCCATCTGCTTCTCCATCCACCAGTATTCTGAAGAAGGGGCAGAAGAGAACATGTGAAGAGGATACACCCTCCCCTCTTCATAAGGTTATTTGACCGTATACTATAATATTTAGGAAACTGAAACAAGTGTAATGTATGCTAATTTTCTCTTTTTCTAAACCATTATTTTGCAGTCGCGTCGAGTGTCTTTTGCAACTCCAATTTATCATCAAGAACTGGCTGATGATATTGATCGACGTAGTCCAGTTATTCGCACAAGCTCACCTAGGTCCAAAGTCTTGAGTGGACAGTCGAAGGTGTGTGATGAGTTTTGAAATCGTTACATCTTGGATATAAAACTGATTAGATTTAACTTTTCATGGCATACTGTTTAATTTCTTCAATTTTATTACAGTATATCACTACACCCACAAAAGGATATACAAGTCTAAGTCCACGTAACCTCCGTAGCCCTGGATCCAAAAGCTCTAAAAAATGCCTGGTAATTATTTTCTTGCCTTGTACTTAAATTGCTGAAGTTTTTTTTCTGTTATATTGCTCCCATAAAGTCTGCCTATTCATAAAGATTTTTTCTTCATTTTTTCTTAATTCTGAGAAATTAAGACTTTCTCATGTTATTCAGTTGCATCAGACTTCAGTTTATTTAAACAGTAGTCCAAGTGGAAATGGTGTTAAAATGTTCCTCTTTCTTGATCATAGATTTCAGAGATGAGCCAGGAGCCACGTCCTATTGCTAAAGATTGTGTTTATCCAGCACTTGTTGGCTGCTCTACCCCTGTAGAGGCTGTTTTACCACAGATATCCTCCAACATGTGGTAAGCCAGATCACCCATTTCCCCTTTCGTACATCTTGGCTTCAGTTCATTAAGTTCATTCCTCAGTTTTAATTTTATATCCTTGTGAACTACAAATACATCAAAGTATTGATCGAGTGGTATAGCTGACAGACGTCTCCGTGGTAGTACACGTATACCATTTCTTCACCCAAACAGTTCAATCAGTTTCTTCTTATCACTAGATTTTATCACAGATCTAAAGGTTGTTTTCTGGGGTATTAATGTAAAGAATGTAGGTAATTGGCATACGTGTTTTTTTTTCTTTGTGTTTAGGCCTCGTGGCTTTGGTCAGCTTGTTAGAGCAAGAAACATCAAAACGGTTGGAGACCTGAGTGCCCTTACCCCAAGTGAAATCAAGTCTCTTCCTATTCGCTCGCCTAAGCTGTCCAATGTGAGGAAAGCACTTAAAACCTATTATGAACTGCAGGTAATTGTGTGTCTTGCATTAGTATCTTCTCCTTTATTATGGGAGATCATTTCTTATATCTCACATTTGGCTGTACAGAGAAAAGGGAGTTCTGATGACCTAAAGAGTTTTGACGAAATGGAGAAAATGACATCTGAGCCTGAAGAGATGGAGCTTCCTCAAAACCAAGAGGAGGAGCAAACACTAGGAGAGGCTCAAGGTTAGCTATTTTATTTCTTCTGTCAAATCCATCATTGGCGATACTTCCAACATGACAATGACTTAACTCATGACTCCCAACTTTTTGCAGATGACAGACCATCAGAAGTGGAAGTAGATTCAGAACCGATGGCTGAGGAGAACAAATCTCGTGATTTGCTCTCAGATGTTGAAGCCCTTAGTGGACACCTAACTTCAGAGGAACTTGGTCGCTGCTCACCCAACCAGCTGGGTCTGATGCACGAACATCTGAGCGGAATGATGAGAAGCATTGTGACCCACATGCAGTCCCGCTTGCTGAGTCATCTTGATGATAGCTTGCCATGAGGAATCTTGATGATAGCTTGCCATGAGGACATTGAGACATTTTCCTGACATAATTCACTTTTAACTTGAAGATTAACAGTGGACTGCTCATTTCTCAAGTTTTAGCTTGAATTTTAGAGTAGATGAATTTCTAATTATGCTCTTTCAGAGAATAGACTTCAGTGGCCGAAAGCCATTGCTACTTAAGTGTCAATGTATTTTATGGAGTGATTTTTAAGACCGTAAAATTGTGGTGAGATGCCAAGGAAACTTTTTTTTTTTTTAATAAAGCTATAGTATTAATACAATTTCTTTTTTCATTAAATGCTTGGATTTTTTTTGTCAATAGCTCTCTTTGTACAAACCACTAAATTACGAATACATATCCATGACAGGAAACAGATGGACTGCAGAAGCATGGTGTGTTTTATTATCTACTGATTCAAGGTATACATCTTCCTCTAACCCCACACCTACAGAATCAAAGAAACAAAACACACATGCAAATAGTGGCCAGCCTTCAGCAAGGGAGGGAGGAGGCTTGCTTTTAACATCAATACATTTTCATTTTTGAGGAACTGATGGCCTGTCCTCAACGTCTTCAAGGTTTTTTTTTCTTATTTTCATTTTCACTTTAGTGCCGCTGTTCGGTTTTTATAAAACAATTTCAGATTTTCCTTTTTCACATATAAAGTGAACCATGAGCCCATCTCTCGTTGTGCAAACGTTTCAGCGTTAAAACTTTCAGGATGGCCTTCTTTGAATGTAGTGTGATTGCAATATACAAAAATAATGGGCTCCAGTTACTTAACTGTTAGAATAGAACAACAAAGATAAATATAATTGTCTGTGACTTAAATAGGTATGTATAATTTGTCAGTTTCTCATGCCACAACCACAATAGACTTGTGACATGGGCACAAATGAAATTTCTTAACAGTAATGAGGACAAACAGCATAACTACTCGGACAAACATTAGTACACATAAAATGGTTTGTTCTGAGTGGATATCAAACGCCCTCATCCACAGGGAGTTTGAGAGGGCAGTAGTTGTATTTAGATGGCTTCCACATAGTTGGCAGGGAGCATACCGGTCTTTCCAGTACGCTGCACAGTGCCATACATCCAACCCTCATCGATAGACTGCACACTCACAATCACATCACCGTCCTTGAAGGACACTTCATCATTGTCTGCAGCAGCATAGTCATACATGGCACGGACAGTTTTCTGTTGAAGAGAAAATGGACAATATTAAACGACCAACTTCATCAAATACACAGTGAATATGTAGGGTATATGCATACACATACGATATTAGCATTATACTACTATGATAGTGAAACTGGCAGTGATCACTCAGTACTTACTCCAGTGGTTGAGGGATGTGAGGGGACAGAAGAAACAGTGGTCTGTTGTGTTGCCACAGAGGAGGATCTCTGCTGAACCTCAATTGTCTTGGTCTGTGTGTAACCTATATGACACAACAGCACAGGTGTAATTGTATATATCTCTCTGTCACTAGTTAGCGTTCAGATTTTGGACTTTTTAAAAAACTTTCTACAAGTAGATTTTAATCATTATTAGTAATAGAGAGATGGTAGGCCAGATCAACAGTTTTACAATCCATTTTAAAGCCTCAGCAGTTACTACAGAATGAAATGCTGTAGCATACTGTACACTTAACAGTTTGAGATGTGCCTAACATTACTTTAAATTCAGTTTTGACAGCAATTCATTCCAGTGGTAATTGGGTGAAAACAGGAAGTTAATCCTACTCTGAAATTGGTTTAATGTACATGTAGGCCTATATGTTCAATATAAATCATGTCAACTTTTTGATGTCAGTTAGATTTGCATATTTGACCTTTTTATTTTTTTTTTACTTGCTTTTCAACATCAATTGTCCACTGGGATATATATATGGGCCATTCTATGGAATTGGTCCAAAGTCAGAGTTGGAAACGTATTGAAAAAAAATCTTGTTTTTTTCCCAAAAATTATGTATGCAAATATCCAAGGTACACATTTCTTGGAATTGTGCAGTTAAGTCTCACAGGCTACGTTCACACTGCGAGCCTTAGTGCTCAATTCCGATTTTTTTTTCTCAGATCCGATTTTTTTGTATAGTTGTTTTAAATGTGGCCAATATCAGATTTCCTGTGTGAACAGATAATGGTTCTGAACTGACCCGCATGCGCAAAAGAACGATACGAACAGGGATTTGGCAACACTTGCGCAGCGCGCCGTCATACGGAAGTAAACGCGGAGGATATGAAGTAAGCGATTATGCGTTTATTTATAGTGTGATCTGCTGCAGAAGCCAGCGAAATTATGCACAGGCAATATGAAAAAAATAAAGACAAGGATGTGACAAAAGAAAGCAGAGTTTTGAAACTTTTATGATACGAGCCCTCATGTTTTGCTTGTAGAGCTGTCACCGTAATATACATGAGTTCTGACACATCATACTTCCACTGATTAACGTGCCTTTCGCTACTGTCTTGATAACTTTGGGTATGTAAAATGTTTGAAGTGTCGCCCATCAGCACGGAATTATGACGAATGTCGATCTAGAGTGACGTAAAAGCCGCATGAAATCCGACATGACCGTTGACACTGCGGTCGCATTGCAAAACATCTGACATGGATCGGATTTAGTACCACATATGGAAGTGGCACAAATCAGAATTGAAAAGATCAGATTCCATGCGGTTTGTGCTGTTCACACTGTCATGACAAAAACAGATCTGAGTCACATGTGAGCAAAAAAAAAATCTGATTTGGGCCACATTTGCCTGCAGGGTGAACGTAGCCATATTGTATTTTTAGAAAGTTTTGGAATATTTGTCCTCTCTCCAAATTTGTCACTACCAACACACAGTAATAATAATTTAATTAGAAGGGTTATATTGACCTATTAAGATTTTGCTTACATCTAGATTGTAAATATATTTTTTTGCTATTTTATTACATTTTTTTCAGAGGTAAATCAATAACAACTAAATTTTAAACAATATTTCAAGTGTAAATTATGAGATTTGTTGTATTTTGAATTCAATTTTGCTTTGTAAAAGGCAAAAAGTTGATCATACTGATCTCAAAGTTAAGGATTTATTAGTTTGAATATACATTGAATCAAAAACTATCATAACATCTTAGTTGATAATTCAGTATACTTTATTTTTGACAAAACATCCCATGTTTCGGTAGTGACAGCACATTTTCAGTAGTGACTAATGCTTTGGTAGCGACCACATCACATTACAGAATTTTAACTTGCATACTAAAACATTTCAGTAGTGACTAATGCTTTGGTAGCGACCACATCACATTACAGAATTTTAATAATACTAATTACTAATAATACTAATAATTACTAATAATACTAAAACACTACTAAAACATACTAAAATACAAAAAAAATTGCATAACTGTACTAAAATTTTGTTTATTTCCTCCAAATATGAGGATTATGTGTTCCCTTTTGTCACTGTGACAATTCTATGGGATAACAATTCATTGATTTCTGAAGGATCATGTGACACTTTATACTGGAGTAAAGGCTGATGGAAATTTAGCTTTGCATCACAGAAATAAATTATATTTTAAAGGATATTAAAATAGAAACCATTATTTTATATTGTAATAACATTTTGCAAGATTACTGTTTTTTTTTCTGTATTTTTGCAGACTGCAGATTTTGCAGTCTTGATAAGCATAAGAGACTTCTTTAAAAAAACATTACAAGTCTTACGGATCCCAAACTTTTGAACGGTAGTTTGTGTGTATATATATATATATACACACACACACGCGCGGAATTATTCCATTAACATATTTGTTAACTTATTTTTGTACATCTTTAATGTGACTGAAGAAATGTAATGTAACTGATGAAATTTAAGTAGTGAAAGATTCTTTCTCTTCCATATTGTGACATACAGCTGAATAAAATGAATTATTGAAAAAGAAAAAAAATGGGATGTAGACTTGGTTCTACCAATCGGTTGTTAATTGAATTTTGGGATGTGGGCATTTCACTCAATAATGAATGCAAGCTTGCAGTCGATTGCGAGAAAGGGATGGAGTGTAAGTGGACCTAATGTTTGGAGAAGTCTGGCATACGTCACCAGAGAGAGACGTCTAGCCTTTCACTAAAAGATCCAGTCATGACATTTTGATTAAAAATGTCCAAAAAAAGTTTTAAAAATGAAACGCATGGATGAATCATTTACAAAAATTGAATTGCCGACTATCATGCTAAACCCAGGGTCAAGACAGTTCAAGCACTTTAAACGTACCTTGTAGAGTGGAGACACCAAAGCCATTGCTGTAGAGGGATGCGTGGTGGTCCACGTTCTCAGACACCTCTGACTTCTCATCGCCCACACCACTCATTGCGCTGGTGGAGCGGGAGTGCTCCTTACTGCGACGCTGGGCTTGGACTGAACAATGGGACAAACATGTCAGCATTACCTCCTCTTTGACAGACTGTCGTCAATCAAGGAAGGTGGCAGATAAATATACATCCTCAGTATAGGGTGTACAATCAACAGGTCATTATACAGTTTGCTGGTCATTAAACAGGTGAAGGTGAGTGAAGGATGTCACAACTGCCCAATCACAATCAAGTATTCCCGAGAGCTGTTCAAATAAGGCCTAAAGGCCCCGATATTCTCAAAACGAAGTTCCTTTTCATTCTTCATTTAGGGGTAAAACGAAGTTTGAAATACGTGTTCAGCGGTATACTGTTAGTGAACATCCCGACGCCACCCACTCTGATGAAAGCAGCATTTAAATGAATATGTAAATATGTGCTGCGCGCTTTCCTCAACAAAATAAACACAACAAAAATGGAGAAAACAGCAAGCATTTTTTTATAAAAAGCATTTGATTACAGCAACATGGGTATGTTTGCACAAGCTCTGCAAATTAGCACTCCCATAATGTCATGTCACGTGTATTTAAATTGCACATATTCAATATATTAATCAGCAATATTAAATATAAAAAACAGTGTCAGTGTCTCAGAAGCCCAACTTTATATGCTACTATAAAGCGGCTCTCCACTGTTTTTTTACCCACAGACATCTCACCTCCGAGGACGAAGTTCACCCAGAGAAAAGTTACGTGGGAAAGAAGGCGGAGCCTCAGTGCACACCTCCTATGATGTAATCGTCATGGACCAATGGTAGTACGAAGGTGTTTTGCAGTCGGTACAAACTTTTCCGGAAAGTTTGCTTTGGCAAGCGGTTTCAAACTCCCAAAACAAACACAAAACTAACTTCGTTCTGGCTGGATTTTGTTCGAAATGACATCAGTTCGTTCTTCGATTTCGCTTGAAGTGTATCGGGGCCTTAAAGGGGTCATAGGATGCCCATTTTCCAGAAGTTGATATGATTCTTTAGGGTCTTAATGAAAAGTCTGTAACATAGTTTGGTTCAAATTTCTCAACGGTAGTGTAAAAAACACCTTTTTTACCCTGACAAAAACAGCTCTTTTCAGATCAAGCCATTTTTGTAGCATTTTCCTTTAAGTCCAGTGACAGCAGAGGAGTGTCCTACCTGACATCATGTGAAGACTTCTGGACTGGATGTTGTCCTCGGCAGGGTCATAGTCAAAGACAGAGCCAGGGTTTGTGCGCCACACACGCAGGTCTTTGAGAAAAAGGAAACCTAGTTTTAGTGAATGTCTCATTTGGTTCCTGTGTATATAATTCTTTACATATTGTCAGAGGCATGTTTTTCTATATTTATGGGAAGAGAATTCTGTTTCTAAACTCAAGTGTGTTTAGTGTGCACAGAACACAGCATGTGTCAGCTGACCAGTGATGGTCTCCTGATCGTGCTCCTCTGCACGTCTCCTCTCCATCTCCACCACACGTCTCTGGATGCCGCGGTAGCTGATGTCACTGAAGTCCTGGGTGTTCCTCTTCACACGCTCAGTGACGGGGTCAGAGATGGTGGGGGTGAAGCTGCCCTTACTCTTCTCAAAGTCCTGGTGGTATCTGACCTGAGAAGACCCACAGACAGCAATACATGAGGCAGGAGACAAAGAAACTGTTACAGCAAACATCGACATTGAGATTGTCTGACATTTTTTAATGCAACAGGTTGCCCTTCATATACTATACAAAAATCAGTTCATTGCAACATATTGATAAAGGTATGGATTTAAAAGTCATCTTACTCCAGAGATGATACGCTGGGTTTCTTTAACACGTCTCATCTCAGGGGTGTCCAGCACAAAGGCGGCCTTGCCCTGCACCTGCTTACGGAAGCTGTCGGAGTACAGAACCTGGACACGAGACAACACAGCACATACATAGATTAGAAACCAAATAATTCTGGAATATGATTATGTATCAAGACCCTGTGGAAGACACACCAGGAAATCAGGACATTAGACAGACAAATGACATGAATACCCTGGGTGTTATTGTGATTTCAGACAGATGAATTAGAAGGGTCTTCAGGGGGCTGGATTAAAAGTAGACGAGTCCCGAGATGAAGGTTTGTAGTGATGATGATCGGTTACAGCATTAAATTCAGAATATGGAAGAGTACAGTTAATATTATTAGCCTCCTACATGAAATGAAGGTATTAGAGTGGTTACATTTACACATGACACACAAACACACACTTCTTGTCCGTGGCTGTGAGTACCGAGCTAATCTGCAATTGGTTCCGTTTGACCCGCTTCATCTCTGGAGTGAACACCACAGGCGTTCCCTTCGCAGACGGGTCCTTATACAAAACCTAGAGTAGAAAAAACAGCCCCCCCCCAGAGGCCAGTCAGACACTAAACACCATGACAGACGCAAGAGTTTTGGAGAGAAGTCACATGAAACATCACACACAACGAGTTTATATCCCAGATTTAAAAAGAGGAACCTGGTTGGGAAGGGAATACGACAAATGTGGGATACAAGAGTTTATCTGGTGTTGGATTAGCAACAATGTCTGGAGTTGAATAATCCCATACATTTGAGCTCACAGCAGAAAGGGGACCTAACTAGGGTGGAATGTGATGTGGTCAATTACATTAGATGAAAATGGGGTTTAAGCATTACATTTCATACGCTTCAGTTGTTTTGCATCAATGATGGGATTGTATAAATTGGAAATGAAGTATACTGGAAGCGTTAATGGGATCAGAGCCACTCTCAAGTAAACCCTTGTGGAGCTTCCACTACCGAGCTTATGTGCTTCTGATTCTCTTTGACCCGCTTCATCTCGGGGAGGTCTGGTATGGCTGTGCCTTGACTCAGCGAATCCTTGTATTTTATCTACCCAAGGATTAATTTCGACATATCAAATAAACAACACAAACATGAACCAAAACAGCTAGAGAACGAACACCCACAAAGATGACATACACAACAATATTAGCTCTGTTGCAAACCCTTAATTGCCTCCATAGGCAGTTGCCTTCTAAAATTGTATCATAAGTGCCCCAAAGTGGAGTATTTGTACATCTTTACATAGGCAGCTCAACACAAATAGCATAAAATTACATAAAGGTGCCAAAGCTTTCAGGTCAGGAGCGTGCTTTTGATGCTTTAAAATGCTTCCAGCATAGGCAGCTTGTTAGGTTTCGGAGCAAAGCAATTGTGTTTAAGGAATCAATAATTTTGTTGATAAACTGCAGGTTTTGTAAAATAAATAAATAAAAAACAATAATTGAAATTTATGGTTTGGTACCCAATTATTACATGAAAGAATCAGTTGCTAGTTATTAGCCTACATCTAAATAAATACCAAGTATTACTGAGGTTTTTAACAGGACAATGTATGACAGGATTTTGTCACATGAGCTAGACGAGTTATACATAGTTATAAATGATGGATTTGATGCAGTGATTTATTCCTAGGGTCACTAGAGGGACTAGTATAAACAGATGAAAAAAACATGAGTTTCTGAAAAAGCTGTTCCTACTCCCAAATCTTCCTTGTATTGGATCTTTAAGCATGTAGAGGCAATGGGGAGGTAAAAATGTCAATAATCTTCAAATATTAATGTGTAAAAAAAATACAAAACTTTGTTGAAATAAAACACAAAACATGAAAACAAAAGTGAAGAAAATGTAAAAATAAAATAAAAAAAAACATTGATCTCTAGCAAGAAAAACAGTTAATTTCAATTGTAATAATATTTCATAATATTACTAGTTTTACTGTATTTTTCACAAATGCAAACAAATGCAGTCTTGGTGAATATAATAGACTTCTCTTAGAAGCCAGAAACTTTTAAACAGTAGTGTATGAACATAAAATAAAACAGTGGAGGGGGACGTTTGGGTTATTTAGGAATGTTTATCCTTAAAAAACTGAAGAAGGGTGAAATGAGACTTTAAAGAATATTAAAGAATGAGAGAATAAATTTGTCTAAACAAGGAGTCTTCTTCAAAGAGGAAAAATACTACCGAGCTGATATTCTTCTGAGTTTCCCGTACACGCTTCACCTCAGGATGGTCGGGCTCAGATATGCCTTGACTTAGTGAATTCCTGTATTTAATCTAATACACATTTCAGTCCATTAGGAACATGGAACAGCTGACAAGATAAAATAAGTGATAAAGACACATATGCAGAAGAAAAGATAAGTTGAGAGTTTTAAACAATGCAACACTAGTCAAGTCTTGAGACCAGTGTCAAATGAAGATGGATAAATGTATAGGCCATGTTATTTTATGTTATTTAAAATGATGAGAGGAAGTGCCTATTTATTTAAACTCAGTGAAACATTCAAATTATAGCTTGATATTAGATGGCATATATTAAAATGAATGTTTGTGTTTGATATTACATTTCTTAGGATGCTGACAGAATTTTGATTAAAATCAGGAGGCATTTTGGAGACACTCCAACAGGAAGCAGGGTGAATGATGGGGTCACACCGCAGTGTACCGTGCTAATAGCCTCCTGATTGCTTTAACCCTCTCCATCTCAGGGGTTTCAGATATGGCTGTTCCTTGCCCAAGCTCCTCCTTGTACTGGATCTTTGGGATTGTACAAGCATAAGGAGGCATTAACATTTGTTTTTGTTATCCCTTGGGATAAGTAGTTTTCATTTGTTTTGTCTGGAGACACTTCAGAATGTGCCCTTGCAACATAAAAACAGACTAAACATTTGAGAAAAGGACAAAGAAACAAAAACATTTCAAACACACATCATTGAAGACAAATACAAACCAAGATGTAAAATATGTAAATAGTAAGGTATTTTGTTATATATTTTTGCAAGATATTGTTTAGGATGAAGAAAGGTCAACAGCATCAAATTTGATGATTACCGTTAGTGGCTTTGCTAGTTTATGACTACAAGTTAATGACTATATTAGACTAAGGTCTTAATGACTATATTAGACTTAGGTCTGTTTAGGATATCTATATTTACATGATATAAAAAGAGTTAACAAGAAATGTTAACTTGTGGTTGCAGTACAGAAAAAAAAGAAAAAGGTGGTGTAAAGCAAGAAATGGAAACAGAAAAAGTCCACACAAAAAAAAAAATAGACCAAATGGTTAGAATGTAGGAAAAAAATATACTCATTAGGCAGTAGGTACCAAGCTGAAATTCTTTGTATTTTCTTTAACACAAAGCATTTCAGGGGTGTCCTTTAGTGCTGAAACTTTGCCCTTACTGTTTTTAAGGTCAAGCTGGTACTGAAGCTAAAAAGAAAAGAGCACAAAGGCAGTCAAAAATGACACAAAAATGCAGCAAGAGAAAACAAAAATGTTCAAAATCATCTAGAGAGAATTGCGATCTAGACAACTACTGTAACTAAGCCAGCATAAGAAATGTATGGCTACTCTTTTCATATCTGCCTCTCATTTATATTTCTCATAGACAAACCGGAAACACAGGGACCAAAGACAACAAAGGATACAAATATCACATTTAAGCTAAGATTAATAAAACAGGAACATAATATGGACCGGCGCAAACCCTTGAAGAAACACTTACAGTGCTGAAGTTCTTCTGGTTCTCACGCACTCTTTGCATCTCAGGAGTGTCCAACACAGGCACATAGTGTGACATGGTCTTTTCAGCCTCCTCTTTGTACTTTTTCTATAGGATAAAATACAAAATTGACAATACTGCGTTGACAGAATTGGCAAAATTGAGTTGTTCATGAGATTACACTTAAATAATCAATATCTGTTATAAAACAGAGGCACTGGATAATAGCTTTAAGACTTATCACTTTCCATTCATAAGGTAAAAAACAGCCTAAAACTTTTTAAAAAGTCTCTTTTTTATCATTTTCAGCAAATAGTCAGTGAAAATAGTGGTGATAACCTACAGAAACTGTTCATTGTCAGCCTCAAGACGTCAAGCTGAAAATATATGAACTGTTACCAAAAGGTGTCTACTGTGTGAATCCCTGATTTGTCTGAATTTGTAATTTTCTACCAACACACATGCAATAAACATTAAAAAAAGAAGCTTCTTAAAGAAGCAAACCTCATACCTGGCTCACAATGTTCCTGATCTGCTGAGCGTGGAGGATGTCAGGGGTGTCAATGACTGTGGTGTATGTGGCTCTGTCATGCTCAGCATTCTGCTTGTACTTGGCCTGGAAAACAAATTCAAAACAAATCCATGTATCAATTAATGTTGAAATGTTGATGCTGATAGTTAAAGGAATCACCTCACAACTCAGGGAAACATTTAAATGATGGGTTGAAGATCATTTGTGTACCTGACTGAGGATTTCTGTGGCATTCCTTGCCCTCAAGAAGTCTGGAGTGTCAGTAGCCAAAGCCAGCATGCCTTTTCCTTTGATCTCTTGCTCCAATGATTTCTTGTACTCTCTCTGCAGGAATTGGGCAGACATTATCATACTCATGTGACCATGTGCATATGTTTGTGTTTATCAGTGATATTGACATTCACACCAAGAATCATTCCTGTGGGCTACAAACACAATAAAAAGCAGCATAAAAACGGCAAAGAATAAGAGGATATTAACATCGGAGGTGTAAACAAAAAATAAAAAAATAAGGGAGGTCATTTAGAACTGAAAGACAAATTGACATTTAGTGGGAGTTCTTTGTGCTTTACCAAACCTGGTTAGATGGCGAACCAAAGGGAGACTCCATTAGCTTGATTAGTTTTTTCATTAGCAAGAGGCAAATGGACTACTTTCTGCCTGATTAGTGTGTTGAGGAGGAAGTGGCGTTGTGGCAGAGGACTGCAGGTAAGATAATATAGCTGAGCTTTAGCCATCCTACCTCACACAGGATCTGAGTAGCATTCTTTGCTCTCAGTAACTCAGGAGTTTCCTCCAGCACTGTAAGCCCTTTACCCTTCACCCCTTCCTCTAGATCCCTCCTGTACTCTTTCTACAAGGCGGAGAAGAACAGAAAGACTGCAGACACATAGCACACACAGACATAGACACAGTACTTGTGCAATACTGCGCTCACTGACATTTCTTCAACGTCACCAAGCATTTGCTCTGGGTTTGAGATAAAGCTTCACATCCAGAATATAATCAAGGTGCATGTTGTCCAGACACCATTAAAATAACTGAGTATAATCTACATAGAGCAAAGGCATTGCCGAGTTTGAAAAGCAACCTGATATAGACATAAACAATGTTCATCAGAAATCTCACAGGCAATAATATTGGCAAAAAACATTGTCTGAGACTCTTTAACATGTACATTCTTTTCATAGCAGCATTCATATGATTTTAAAGACAACCCCAGATCTAAAGCGGTTGAAATAAAATAAAAAATAATAATAAAATAAAATGTTATTTCATGTACATGCTCAGGGTAATCAAGATCTAAAGAGGTAAAATAGATTTAATGTAGGTTTAAAAAAAATTCAAGATATATGATCATAAAAAATTTGACAAACCGTAATAACAGGGTTCCCACACCTTTTGATCAATGACTTGTAATGACATTTCTAGTCAGTCATGAGAAATCATTAAAAATTATTTTAAAGAGATTGCACAATTATGCATTATGAGCCGAGTATAATTTGACTTTTCATGTCTATGACTTGACATGTGCGTGACTTTTTAGAACTTTGTTCATTTCCTTGCCTGGAATCACAATTTCTGAAAACCTGGAAATCCTGGCCTGGAATTAAATTTCCTAATATCTCCAGGTTTTCCATTACTGTGGGAACCTTGTGAAAACAAAGATTAAAAGAAAACACACGCACACACACACACACACACACATAGATGTTGGAAGGGGAAGGGAATTACTGAGAGTGTATTACAGCGGAAGGATGGTTCATGCATACTGACCATAACCTACTCGGGTGTAATGGAAATTCATGTAAGGATTATAACGTGTATGTGGTCTTAGTATTATTACCAGGATGGAAGGAAGAATATATAAAGGCATCATGTTACCTCGCTAACAATTTTCGTGGCGTGTCTGACATGCATCATGGCAGGGGTGAACTCCAACCCAGAGAGGTTCTTTCCTTTCATTGTCATCTCAAAGTCCTTCTTATACTCTTTCTATCCACCGCAAAGATAGAAGAGTGAGAGATACATGAAGCTTCTGGAATACGAGTCCATGGTCACACTGGTTCCTCAGTCAGTGACATTTTTACAGTTCATAATGTTTCGAGTACCTTGACATTCACTTAAACTGCTTTCTCCCATCAGTGTGTTGTATCTACAGTGAAACCTTCAAAACCGCTATAAAACTATGAACACATGACACACCTAAATGCCTACCATAAATCCATGGGTCCTGGTTGGAAATTGTGGTGTCCCAATTACTTACCAGCATTACAATATTTGTATCCACATAAAAGCACAGTATTTGAATTCCACTTAGCATTTCTCATTCATTCACACTGGGTTACAAAGAATACTAGAGCAATATACGCTGTTATTTGTTTTGCACTGAATACAATAAGCTTGGGCAGCAGTATTTACCTGACTCTGCAGATGTTGAGCCTCCTTTGCAGTTACGTAAGTAGGAGTCTCGAAATCCAGCATGGCTTTGCCTCTTTCTCTCTCATATTTCTCCTTATATTTCACCTGTATTCAACAAAAGCCCAAAGGTGAGGAACATACAAATAGAAAAAAAGTTATTGGTTAAGCAAATAATGCTTGTTAAGCAAACACCAAAGCTTTGTTTGCATACTGAATCTTTTTGTACAGTCTGTGCTGTATTTTTTTTTATATTGGATGTCAATTAATCTGCCATATTATGTTTCTAAGCACTGAGACTGAGAATAGAGTTTACTATAGGATTAACAGTGTGGAAAATTCATTAAAATACAATGGATGTTTATGGTGTTTTTACAATATAAAATGTCTGGGGTTTTAATTATGAAGTGGTGTGTTTTTACAGCTTTATTCTTACATCATGTACAAATAAGTCCTTGTAAAGCAGTTTACAGGACAAACTAACCCAAACAAATGAAATGTAAGTGATAAATAAATCTATTATAGCTGCTGGAGACTGACAAGCCTGATGAAATGAAATAAACATGTCCAGTATGTGTAGAATCATTCTTCGTTTCACACACAGAGAAGCAGGTGACGTCAGCTGCGGAAAGCTCTAGAACTGTATGTGACTTACTTGACTCTGCAGCTCTGAGGCCTCTTTGTGGTGAAGCTGCTCAGGTGTGTCGGGTATCATATGGTAGTGACCCCTACTCTCCTCAAACTTCTTCTTGTACTGGTACTAAACAGGAACGGCCAATAAAGCAGCTCAATAAAACAAAATGGAAATCCAGTGCTTCATCTCTCCCATGTTAAAAAGGCCAAAAATGACCAAAAAATTAAAAAGTGGGGACAAAAAAAAAAGAAAAGAAAAGAAGAACGGCTGTCATGTTCATAAAACATGAAGGAGGCCGTATATAGACAATGACACTGATAATGTAATGAGCAAGATGTTGTAAACTTCAAATAATCTAAAGTTAAATAATATCATATATTTCTATATTATATTAAATATTCTAATATCAAAATGGCTAACCTAACCTGCTTCTCCTATAGCATTCAAACTACATACACCAGCACAGACAGTTCTTATTTAGTGCGTTACATCTTTTCTAATTCATCAGATGTAAAGTATGTTTTACCAATAGCAAGGCAAACAATTCCCAAAAAATCTCTTAGACTTTCTTAGATAATGCATGAAGTAATTCCTTCTAGAGTTTTTAAGCTGTTTCCACCAAACTTGACACAGTCCTTCACCCTGTTTTGACTCATTAGGCTTTGTAACCACCTGACAATGCTCTAACAACCAACCAGAATGGCCTAACAACTGTCTAGTAACTGCCTACCAAGCCCCCATAATGCTCAAGCAGAACACATTAGCTATAGAAGTATATAAAGCATATGTAACATCCAAACTTCAAATCTCTCTTTGAACTGTCCAAATATTCAATCTACATATCCTTAAAACTTATTTTCAATCAAACCCTTTACATATTTTTTTTCAAACTGTAAGTAAACTGGAGTAAGACTTGTAACTTACAACTTCAAACAGCCCAAGGTTTTAAACTACATATGGCCTAAATAACCTTATTTGAAGGTTATCCATAAAAATAACCTTTTCAAATCGTTTTTAAATGTTCAGATAAAACTGTGTCAAGCAAACATTCACGGTCTGCTTTGGTAAGCTTTCCGTTTCTAGTCTATATGCACACATTATAATGGAAATAAAAAATGTAGATAGAAAAAAAAGGCATCCAGGGAAAAGTTAATTAAGATTTAGCAGGGAATGTTGTTAAAGGAAAAATGGGGAAAATGAGATGTTAGAGCACTTATAGGCACTAGGCGTGTTAATTAAAAAAAGAAAAAGAAAAAGAAAAAAAAAGAATAGCACTAGGGTCACGTGCGAGCAAAAATGGAGATAGTTAAACTCTAATGCTAGTACTAGTATGTTTAAAATCGGATGACAAGGGTCACTACCAAATGATAGCCTGGAATGAGTAAATAGTTTCAAATGGGAGCTTTCTATAAGGATGAAAGATGGATCTTGTGATATTACATGAAGATGTGTTATTTCACTGTTACAGTGTGTGAGATAAAGCAGTTTTGATGGGAGGGAAATGAAGCCGGCTGTAGAGCTCTTACATCACTGGCCAGCTTGCTAGTGCTCAGGCTGTGCTGCATGGACAGAGACTCCGCCATGTCCGTAACAGGTTTGTGAATCTTCTTCAGATCCCCGTTGTACTTCACCTGCATGATAGATATATGCAAAAATGCACCATGATATGAAACACTCTCAACGTGATATGTGACTGGTAAAAATAGTGTTCATTCAATTTTTTTTAAAAGATTGAAGCACCTCGCTTGCAAGATCATTGGCGTCCTTCAGAGTCTGATAAATCTTGCTGTTCTTCAAATCATACTGTGGTCTCTTTCCTTTCATCTCCTTGTCAAACTTCTCCTTGTACTTCAGCTTTTGAGAGAGGACAGTGACATTGTTAGTTGCTGGTAGTGTTGTATTATCTCCATCCAAATTATTATCTCTGAGCCAAAATGCTTGCGAAAGCACAGAGACATGAATATCAAATGAATCGTTCCATGCAGTCATCAGTGGAAAGAAAGGGACACTGAAAAGAGTCTCGTTACAATAGGGTTTCAGTTGGGTCTAATACAGTATGATTCAGATCATGTTCACACTGTACTAGCCCCAAATGGGAACACCAACATAAAGTTCAGAGCATTCAAAAGCATCACATCAACATATACAATTTGTGGTATTAAAGCTGAAGTGTGTGATTTCTGTCACTAGCATCACTGAACCAATAGAGTGCAATCGTGCCCGTCCATTTTCATCAACAGCCTTGGTTCTGGGAAGTATTTTTCACATTTTATTTTCCCATAGGGATTTAAAAAAAGAGTTATTGCACAACATGAATTTGAAGCAAAAAAAGTATTTGAAAAAATGGACAAAGTTACAAGACTGTGTACTTTGTTGTTGTGATCCTTCATGGGAGTGGGTGGGTGCAGAAAGGTTTCTGAATACTTTGTTTCTGACAACAGAAAATCCTGCCCCAAACTAACACAAATATTTATTTATTTTTTTTTCGTTTTCGAAGATAAACAAAAGTCTTATGGATGGAAGTTTTATGAAAATGAGAGGTGGGTAAAGGATGAAGGAATTAAAATTTTGGGGTAAACCATCCCTTAAAAATGGCCTACTTAAAGAAAAACGACACAATTCAGCTTTAACTGAAGGAAAGGTGGTAAAAAGGTTGAATCTTGTCCCATAGATTCTGAAAAACTCCAGATCTGTGGAGGAATCAAATTTGTGACATCAAGCAAAGAGTGTAACATGTGGAGTGTGTAGACCAAATGATCACTTTCAATACTATACAAAATAAAATCAATCTTCAATTGTGGTAAGTGCGTTTCTGGTCTCTTAAACCTAGCAATGACAGGAATGATTTAGCATTTATTTAATTCTGTACATAATATAACAAATGAATAATAGAGTTGCTTATAATGAATCTGCACACTCCTCAATACAACAGCATGTCAAAGGAATGCAACAGAAAATTGGACACCAGTTCTGACAATTTGAGAGACAAGAGATAAAACAATTTGCATGCTAGACAAATAAAGTGGCAAAGAAATGTGGGCAAAATGCTACTGATTAAAAAAAAAAATCTATGACAAAACTGTGAGTGCTGGCCTATAAGCCTATGCTTGGCAACAAGGCTTGCATGAGAAACACAAAAAGAGACAAAATGAGCAACAAAAAGATGCAAAAAAAAAATGAAATGGGTGGAAATGTAAAACTGAGTGGGCAAAAACACTGAAAACCAACAAAAAACTTGTCTACAGGACCCCAAAATCTTTATCAAATCTTATCAAATTGAGTGCCACTGGAGTTCAACAACTGGGTGAGTCAGAGGGAAAGAGAACATAGACATCAGACAGACAGAGAAGTGCAAATGTCGCCCCCAGGGGCCAGGGACCCTTCTTACATCACTAGTCACGGCACTCATTTTCTTAATGTGACGCATCTGAGGGGTGTCAAATGAGGCAGCACCATGGAGGGATGGCTTTTCCTCCACCTAAAAAGTGCAGTGAAATGGCAGGGTAACATCAATGAGATGGGACAGAACAGTGAAAATGAATTTATGAATGAACAGATGGAAGGATTACAGAGAAAGGAAAGAATCAGGTGGATAGACATGAATAAATACAGCGCAGAGAGAGAACAGTGAGCAGATGAGGATGTACAGATTACAAGAGACACTCAGGGCTCATGAGAGTTAGACAATGACAGTATTAATGCTGATGGGCATGAGAAGCACTGCTGAGGCATTTGAATCTACTACAGTTATTTTTGAGTACTACCGCATAATGATGACATGCAGCTCCCATGATGGTGAAGGTGTAAGGAAATCATTGTCAAAATACATATCCAGCAGCTTCAAACGAAAGCCCTGTGTTCCTTGTGGATAAATACAATTAAAGTCTATGGATTGCTTCGTGTCTAGTGTGGAGGTGCGAATGGTATTACCTGACTGGTCAGTTGGGACACCTCAGTGGCCAGGGTGATATCAGGACGGCCGAGCAGCGTTCCACCACGGCTGGCCTCCTGGCGAGCCTTATCACGGTATCCGATCTACAAGAACAGTTTTTGCAACCATTACTACCTACTATTACAACAATGCATGCGTTTTGTCAAGACTTTACTACAGAGGATTGCATACTAAAAGGAACAGTTCACCCAAAAATAAATTTTTTTATCATTATTTACTTCCATGTGGTTCAAAACCCATAAGACTTTTGTTCTTCATTGAAACACAAATATTTTAGGGAAACCTGAGAGATTTCTGACCCTCCATTGAAAGTCCATTCCCCTTTAAAAACTTTTAAAACATTTTAAAAAGTACATATAATAAAGAGATCGTAAAAATAATCCATATGCTTCTTAATTCAAGTCTTTAGAAAAGATACAATCGTTTTATATAATAATAACATATTTAATGTATGTTTTTAATCACATATAAACATGACAAACATAAATCTTGTCGCTTTGTGTGCAAGAACCAATAAGGTTTGTTCTTGGGTGTCAAGCAAGCACAGCTGAGCTGCCGTTGACCATATATGGGTGTTTTATATATGTGAATGAAAGTTTTATGTGTTTGGAATGACATAAGGCAGGCTGAGTAATTGAACAGAATTTGAACTGTCCCTTTAAAGTGTCCCTCACCTCACTGACGAGCTTAGCAGCTTGAGTGGCTTTCCTGATGTCTGGGCGGTCAGCAACCGGAGTGTACGTCAGCTTGGCTTTAGCCTCCTGCTTATAGGCGATCTATACAAAAAGAGATGTGGGATTTACAACAATCTCTGTCTGAGACTATTATTTGAGGCAGATACTTGTTAGTTCCTTACATTGCTTTGGTTCTTGGCCACTTCCATGGCATGTTGCACATCAGGAGGAGCAATCATTTGGTTGTAATTAGACTTGCCTTTCTCCTTCTCAAACTTCTGCTTGTACAATTTCTGTGAAAAGATCATGTGAGATTATGATTGGCAATCTCAATCGCTACAAATGAGATTTAATGTAATTAAATGTAATTTAATGTAATAAAGGGGTGAAAACGGAGTATTTAGACTTACAGCACTTGTGATTTTGGCAACCTCTTTGCTGTGGGCAGTCTCCCGGGTTTCAGCAAGAGTGGTGAAGCCGCCTGACTGGAGATCCTTTTTGCTGGCCTCCTTGTATCTGGTCTGCAGAAAAAGTTGTAAAACAAAAATGCTGTTCAAAAACGGTGCTTTAATTAATCTACACACATTACAACATTACATTGTGCCTTACCTCAGACACACGTTTAGCCACTGATTTAGCATGAAGGATTTGAGGAGTGTCATGGACAGCAATGTACTGGCCTTTGGTCTTTTCATACTTCTCCTTGTATTTCACCTGAAGAACCGTGACATTTTTATTAGTTTAACTAGTCACATTTTGTATGTTGATTCTCAAAATTGGAAAACGTATATGGAAAATGGCACTCACATCGCTGGCAAGCTCAGAGTTCTGCTTAGCCAGAATGGTGTATTTATCATCAGTAACAGACATTACACAGCCCTTCAACATTTCCTTATCGTACTTGTACTCAACCTGTGAATTACAAACAAATCAATTCATTAATCTGAAAAATGGCTTATGGATAGATGCACACAAACTTACATGCAACAGAGAACATGCAATATGCAGATGGACAAAAGATGAAATTTTCTTTTATTGATGCTTCTGTTTATATAAAAAAAATCACATTAAACATTGGCATTTTGACTAAATGTATTTTAAGGCAAAACTATTTATTTTATTAAATATTTTAATGACTTAATTTAACCGATGCATCGTTTTTTTCATTGTAAAATAATAACCTGATTCAAAGAAACTAGAGGAAAACACCACCATGACATCTTAAAGTAGGGCAGACCAGGCTAATTATCACACGTCTTACTCCACTGAATACAGTTTAGGGTAAAACGTGTGACATCTTGCCCCCACAAACTGTGACGATTTGCCCTGACCTGACATTTATGAAAACATCCTTAGACTAACATAGCTTAACTTTCAGTTAAAATCTACCTCTCTTATATAGCTGACTTGCATGAATGCCAGCTTGGTAATACTGTGTCATAGTGCCAGTCTCTCCTACATACAGCCTGTATACTGAAACATTGCTTTACCTGTTTTTCCTAGCAAAATCAATGGAGTTATGGAAAGTGATCAGTGGATCTGTTTTAAAAGCAGGGTATGGTAGAAAATCCAAACTATTGATAGTTAAAGGCTGCATATGACCATTAAAGGTGAAGTTAGGAGTGCATTGATGAAAAGATGAGATTTGTATGGGGAATGGAGGACTACCAATGGGCAGATGGTTACCTTACTCCACATGCCAGAGTTGTACATTGCAACAAGAATGTCAGGACGGAGCAGCTCATTGCAGCCACTCTTGAGTAACTCCTTGGCCTTGAATTTATATTTTCCCTGTCCATTGAGAAAACACACAGATGCACAAATCATGCCACAAGTGAAGACAGAGCCAGAAAGTGGCTACTGAAGTCCAGATAGAGTTGCTCAGTTCCAAACTGTGTACTCCAGATAAGGGATTTCAAAAGAGTAACCTTAACTCATGACCCAACAACCAAACTGTTCAGATGAAGCAATATCTGGAGCACACAGATTTGGTCCAAGCTATGTACACTCAAAAAAGTCCTGTTTGGGTTTTGGAACACAAGCAGACACCTAAATCATGGGAGAGAAAGAGACACGATCGAGAGACATTGAAGCCATGCGACAGAGCCATCCAGTGGATCGGAGACGACCTCATGCTCGGGCCCCTGTGGCAGGCGATGGACCTGTAGGGAGCGGCTGGAGCTGGTGGCTTTACCTGACTCATCTTGCTGGCCTCCTTAGCCAAGATGTTTCTAGGATCATCTACAACTACGGTGTACTTATCCTTAGACTTCTCATAGCTGGCACGGTAGGACCTCTGCTCAGGATTTCAAAACAGGAGTTAAAGAGAACTGCCTCGAAAGCAGTAAAGATAAGCACTCATTCAGAGGAGAAAATATGTCATAACAGGTAAACTCTGAACTCTGAAATCTTAGTAAAGATATGACTTAAAGGGGAAAAAATTACATATAAACGTAACAGACATCAATTTGAGATGGTAATATACATTGGAACGGGCATGATCCAAGACGGGAGTGTGTGATTCTGGGGTGAAGAAGGCCCTCTCCTTGGATGCCAGATCAATGTACTGGAACTGTGAAGAGTCACAATATTTTTATGGTGAATATCTACTTTTCTCCAATGGATTGAGAAAATCTACCAGGTAAGAAATTTAAATACTTCTTACAAGTAATGGAATGCTGTTTTGCATTATTTTTGTTGAAAAAATAGATATAAAACAAATATTTTTGTGCCCATGACAATAGGATCATTTACAGTAGCTCTTTTTTCCTTTTATATTAAGTGACTAACAGCAGAGGTTACTGTGTTACTCGCAGCATCATATTAGCCAGTCTCATTCTCTAACAGAAAATGTTACAAAAATTAGGAAACGTTGTTTTGTTTTCATCATATGAATGCCTAATGCAAAGAATATTCCACATACAGTGTGTGTCAGCATATGAACTAGAACTAGTCAAATTCTAATGGTAATTTTTCTAAAGGTGAAAGTTGATAAAAGACACATTAAGGCTGAAATACACATTAGGCATCATACACTTTTCAACTTTGTAAATGGTTAAAGAGAAAAAATGGGCATCATTCACTAAATGAATGAGGATCACACTACCAGATTTTCAAGTCATTTTGAACACAACAAACTTACACAGAAATATGTGCTTGCTGCTAGGAGATGCTTGACAAATAAAAATAATACAATGGTATGCATTCTAAAATCAGCTCAAAATATCAAATATGTTTGATATCCTAAGTCTGTGGTTTGTATATCTTTGATTGGAAATCGCTTTTGTAAGTTATGTCAGCGAGGGTCAGACTGTCATTTGTAAAATTTACCACCCATTTAATTCTGAACCCTGAGTATGATTTCTTAATTCGACACATTATAACAAGTCATTATTTACATTTAATTGTGTTTAGGGCTGAAAGTGACTTACATGGTTGGTCAGACTCTGTGCCCACTTGGCTCTCTTAATTTCCAGGCCATCCACAGTGGTGGTGCATTTTGTCATTTCCTTATTGCCCTCAGCTCGGTACACAATCTGTGGACGGAAACAGATAAAGAGACATTTAAGAATGTGAATAGGCTTTAAAACAGGAGTGAGATGTCAGGCCTGAGGTCGATATAAAACCACTCACATTACTCATGTGGGTCTTGAGTTCAGTCACACGCTTGTACTCTGGTGTGTCCAGGACTACACTGAAGTTGGAAAAGTTCTTCTTGGCATCAACCTCATATGATTTCTAGAAAATAAATAAAAAAATCCTGATTAGTACCAAAAATAATCAGAATGAACCATTATGAGTGAAATATGACCTGCATGATAAGTGAATGAATAATTACTCTGAACTTGGTGATCTCACGGATTCGGACCATCTCAGGAGAGTCTGCCATAAAGCAGCCAATGCCTCTCAGCCAATGCAAATCCTCTTTATATTTCAGCTGCAGAAGATATAAACACAGTTAACATACCTGCAAATGTCAAGGTGGGAAATGCTATGCATGCATCTCTTGCAGTATGCCACAGTAAATTTGGGTGCATGTAGTATGGGTGACACCTACATCGCTGTTCATCTCTTTGACATGGAAGCAATGCATCAGCTCTGGGGTGATGGGCATGGGCAGAAGAGTTCCTCTAGTGTTGTAGTACTTCTCCTTATAGCACAGCTGTAGAGGGAAATGAACCGTTATTAGGGCATCAAATAATTCTGTGGGTGTAGCATGTGAGACAGAACTCATGTTTCATAATAAAGACATACTTACATCACTGATTGCTTGTTGAGTGGCCTTAACCTGCCGGATCTCAGGTGTGTCATACTCAGAGTGGATCTTGTCCTTTTCCTTCTCATATTTCTCACGATACAGTCGCTATGACAAAAAGAAACCTAGTTAATATCCCTGTTTGTGATAAAGTTTACATTTCCAAAGTGAAACGCGTTATATTTATCTTGGACTTACTTGGTTGGTGACCTTGTTAGCCTTCCTTATGGAGACAAAGTTGACACCTTCAGGACCTAGTTTGTAGCTCCTGGCTTTCATCAGCTCATAGGCTTCCTTGTACTTCATCTACAGACATTGGAACATCAGATGAGATGCATTCATAACATTTAATCTCTTTTTTTATTTTGAAAACTGAGGTGTTCTCATACATTGCTGGTGATGATGCTGTTGGCCTTGGCCTGTTTGTTTAGGGGAGTGTCGTAGGGCAGAGAGTAACCAGTGGGCATAAACATCTTATTGGCCTCTTTGTAGAAGTTCTGAAAGAAAGAATGGAAGTGATGTGAAGCATACATCAACGGAGAGATCAGTACACGTTATTATGTATTGGTAAGAGGCATCATACGTCGCTCTGGATGTAGTTGGCTTGACGGGCCCTTTCAGTATCGACAGTCACAGCAGGAGCGGTGTTTTTACCCATGACGTTTGTGACGTAGTCATGATGGTAGTTAAGCTGTTGACAGAAAGTACATTAGTTAGAAGGTTCTGCTTCAATCAAATTGCAGTAAAAGCCCTTTAATTTATGTTCGATTCATGTTTTTGAGGAGATACCTCGCTCAAGTTCTTAGCACTCTGCTTGCACGTTTCATAGACGGGGGTATCCGTGACCACAGTGTAGTCCTTGAAGTGCTCGATTCCCTTAGCTCTGTAAAGATTCTGAAAGAGAACAGCACACAGGAGAAGAAGTCAACATGAGAGGATTGGGAAGGAGTAAACGGAAAGAAAATTAAATGAGACTTACTTCGCTCTGCAGCTTCATAGATTGCTTACAACGAAGAATCTCAGGAGTGTCCCAAGCATAGCAGCCAATACCCTTCAACCAGTTGAGGTCATCTTTGTAGAAGATCTGAAATGAGATGCAATGTGAAGGCTACAGCTACCAAGAGACCTCAAACCAGTAAGACATGACAGTACACAAAAATTTGAAGCGTGTTTGGAGGTACAGGTATAACTCACGTCGCTCAGTTGCTCGTTGACCTTGCGGGCGTGCACGTACACCTGCATGTCAGGCAGGCAGATCCACTGGTGCAGATATTTACGGTAGTCAACCCCACTGACAGTCTTCTGAGTACTGCGTGCGGATACAATGTCAAGCATGTCGGGAGGTACATGGACCTTTGCCTTGGTCTTCTCATATTTGTCTTTGTACAAGCGCTAATGGAAAAAGTGTTACAAAGAAGTTTGAATTATGTTGACATTTAGTAAGTTACAAAACTGGACCTCAGCTGACGCTTTACTCACATCCAGAACCAGTTTTCCAGCTTTGATACATCTTGCAGTAGCGGGGTCATCCTCAAGACACTTAGGCAGGCTGTACAGGGTCTTGAACTTCTCATAATCTTCCTTGTATTTAACCTACAGAAACCAAAGAAGGTGTAATGTCACAGTAATTAGATTGTTCTCTTTCTATGGAGGCAAGAATTGGAGAAGAGACTGGTGAAGAGACTCACATTGCTCAGGACAACCTTCTGTTGTTTGGCATGGACTAAGGCATGGGAATCGTGAGGGATGCTGTAGCTCTTGGCCTTGATCTTGTCCCAAGCTGCAGAATAGGCTTTCTAAATGTACACAAAGATATTTCAGAAACTGGGACAACAAATAAAACCAGTAACACAGCATTTTAGAGGTTTTCACGCAGGCTTACGGTGCTGTAGATCTCCTTCAGGTTAAAGCATCTTGCGTAGTCACAGGTGTCCAGAACAGTGGTGTAAATGTGTTTCTCCTTATGATATGCCTCTCTGTAGTTCAACTGTGGATAAAACACAAAATATGCAGCATATTACCAAGTGAACTCAAAAGTACTGTGCTCTTAATAATACTCAAGTATTTCAGTGAGCAATTCATGGCAGATTATGGGAGTTCTAACCTCGCTGGCCCAAGTGTGGCCCAGAACAGCAGTCACATATACAGGTGTGTCTGTCACAATGGAGTAGTTGTTCCATTCCTTCTTGCCTTCTGCCTTATATTTAATCTGTGTGGAAACAAACATTAAACCTTCAAACAGGTGGAAACATAATGTCTCTTCATTGTCAATGGCTAGATGAGTCGCAAAAATGTTACTCACATCACTCTGAAGCTCATATGACTTCTTGGCACGCACAATCTCGGGAGTATCCCAGACGTAACAGCCAACACCCTTCATCCAGTTCAGGTCATCTTTGTAGAACACCTGCCAGAGAGAAATTAGTCAAATGTAGCCATTCAACAAACCTGACCCAGTGTAAATATCACTGTAACCATAACCTACATCACTCAAGATCTCATTGGCCTTGCGTGCACGGATGGCATCGTTTTGATCAGGGTGGCATGTCCACTGGTGCAGGTATGTACGGTATAGCACATCAGTCAGGATTTCCTGGCATTTCTTGGCAACCACGTGGCTGATCATATCAGCAGGAATGTGGAGCTTAGTTTTGGTTTCATTGTAGGCTTTGTGGTAGTCTCTCTGTAGGACAGATAAAAAAAGTCTGGTTAATGAGGAATTAAAATATAAACTATACAAGTGAATAAAGAACAGCAACCTTAGAACTCAGGCATAGTAATAATAAAAACAACTCACCAGATTCTTCATTTTCTCCATTTGGCCAGAGCGAACCACCTCAGGGAAGTCAACCAGTGTTGAAGCCAAGTAGTGGCCTTTGGCCTTCTCATGAGCATCAAGGTACTTATACTGCAGTATTTTAATACAAGAAACAATTGTTTACACCACTTAAAAAACAGTGGTGTTTTTAACAGTGTTTGAAGCAACAACAAAAAAATCAACAGGGGTATCATTAATACTTATTCATTTTTGATACTTACATTACTGATCATGTCTCTGGTCTTCTTGGCTTGTTGTACTGGTATATATTTATGATTCAGCTGGTAGCCAGTGGCTTTGCTCTCATCCCAGTCGACTTTGTACAATTTCTAGAATAACAACAGCAAAAACCTTCTAAATATAATGTATCACATAAATAAAATGCAAATACATACAAATAAGTCTGGAATGGGCATTGTTACCTCACTGATCATCTTTGCGACCTCTCTAGAGTGAGCCAGCTGTGGTGTATCCTCAGATCCGATGTAGTGGCCCTTCTCCAGGTTAAATGATTCTTTGTACTTCAGCTGATTAACAACAGAAAGATCGACATAATAGATAAGTTAACATCTTCACACCAGTTTGTCCCTATGAAGCCGAAAATGCCCAAATCTGAGACACACTTACATCACTGAGGTTAAAGGCGTTAACCTTTGCAAGAACAACCTCAGGGCGATCCACAATGTGGGTAAATCTGCCAAAGTTTTCCATAGCATCCTTCTTGTAAAGTCTCTGCATGGGGAAAAGAAACAGGCATTGTTGTAAGACAATGGAGGTTTGTATTATAAGTGAGAATTTGCGGGGGGAAAAAACTGTCTGGTCAAACTTACATCATTCATAATTTCCTGGGCTTTTCGGACTTTGACATGATCCACACAATCAGCAGCCACCCAGCCACAACCACGTAACCATTCCAGATCTGCTTTGTAGACATTCTGGAGGAAGAGTATTATATTAAATTCAGAGCAGTCAAATCAGCGATCTTCTAAAACAAACAAAACTTTACCTTCATTCTCATATTTGAATAAACAAGAATAATTTTGATTTGAAAACCTCTTTAACCAATACTTACGTCACTGGCTAAGTCATACGCTTTACGGGCCTGAATGACATCATTCTGATCAGGCAAGCATGTCCACTGGTGCAGGAGAGTTCTGTACTTGTCATCATTGACTTGGATCTGGCACTTCTTTGCATGTTCAAATGCCAGCATGTCCACTGGAAGGTTGAATTTAGTTTTGGACCTGTTGAAGTCCTTCTTGTAAAGAGCATCACTAGCAATCCTAGCTGAGTTCAAGGCCAGCATGAGCAGTGGATCATCCTGGACGCTCAGGGCTCCAATGTGATGACCAACTTGCTTACGATAACCAGCCTTGTACTTGTACTGCAAAAAAGATGATAATTTATTTGTGAGCATGAATAAAATTAAAGTGAAATGGGTTTAGGTATAGTTTTATATATTTACTTACATTACTCTGTACTTTAGTGGTCTGGATGCATTGTTTAATTGGAACTGCATCTCCGGGCATGAAGTATGATGTGGCCTTGGTCTTGTCCCAGTTTTTGGTGTAGAAGTGCTACAAGTGGTGTTTAAAATGGCCTTTCTGTTAGTACTCACCTTTAAGCAATCATTACAGAAAACATTTATTTCTCAAAAAGAAAATCGCATTACCGGGTGGTACATTTTGGACACTTCCCTGGCTGTAGCCAAAACTGGAGAGTCTGTCAGCGTGTATTTAATCTTGTCCTGGTGCCAGGCCTCACGGTACTTAGTCTGAGAAGAAAAAATAAAAAGGATACTTAGAGAACAGTCATATCTGAAAACCACACATGAAACTAATGTCGTAGGGGTGACAACATTTCAATGGAGAGAACATGATTTTGTCAACGAAATATTCTGTAATAGGTATGTTGTTTAATAGTAATAGTAAGAGCAATAGCAATGGTAATAGTAACTATGAGAAACACAAGGCTTATTATACTCACATTTATACATCTACTGTTAAAATAAACTTTTATTTCATTTTTTCAGTTTTATTTCTCATTTATTTTTATAGTTTTAAAAATGACTTTTAAAATGATTTTATTTTGCATATGTAATGCACTTTGAATTACTGTAATGACGTGTACTTTTAATTAAAACTAAAATATTTATATATTATGTTGAAATGATTAGACAAAGTAGACTATGCTTTTATCCAAAGCAACTTACAATTTCAGGTTTGTTAGAAAGCTAGATTAGGTAACAAATGCCTTGGTTTAAGGTTGCATTTAATCACATGTTTGAAGTGTGCCCTGAAAATCTCCTACTATCCATTCACTATTACGAAGGAAATTAAATAATATGGCTTATAAACCAAAGTTTTAGTTTATACATTTGTGTATGGAAACTGCTTAAAAATAACCTTATAATACTGTCTGATTATCTCTTTTCATATAATTACAGTTTTGAATGACTGGATGATAGTATAATATATGTCTTCTTGCTTACCTCATTGAGCACATCAGCAGCATTTTTGGAGAGCACAAAGTCAATTCTTTCAATTGGTGTTGTATATTTCTGCTCATCCAGTTTCACACGGTAGCCTCTCTGTGAATCAGAAAAAAATCAGCAATTCATTACATTTCTACATACAGTAGAAATAATTATAGTACTTCTACTGGTAGAAGTACTGGTAGAAGCAATTACAATATACAGTGCCAAATGACTTACTTCAGACAGAATCTTTTGGGCATTCCTCACTTTGATGACTTCAACAGACTCATGGGGAATCCATCCACATCCCCTGAGCCACTCCAAGTCAGCCTTGTACACAGCCTAAACATCAAAAACAATCAAATGAAACAATGTCTTGCACTCTATTTTGTAGATTTAAAAAAAACAAACAATCAAAGCTCAACTTACATCACTACGCAGATCATAGACCTTCCTGGCCTGGACAACATCGTTGGAGTCGGGCAGGCAGGTCCAGTTGTGCAGGTACGTTCTGTAGTTGGCATCATTAACTTGGATTTGGCACTTCTTGGCCAGCTCAAGAGACAGCAGGTCCACTGGGAGGTGGAACTTGGTCTTGGACTTGTTGAAGTCCTTCTTGTAAAGAGCATCACTAGCAATCCTAGCTGAGTTCAAGGCCAGCATGAGCAGAGGATCATCTTGGACACTGCGGGCTCCAATGTGATGACCAACTTGCTTACGATAACCAGCCTTGTACTTGTACTATTTAAAAGAAAGAGCGGTTTAAGGCATAAATAAGTTAGTTCCATGGAATGTTTTGTTCACTTTCAGATGCTATAATTCAAAATACTCACATCACTGGCATAACTTGGATCTGGCACTTCTTGGCCAGCTCAAGAGACAGCAGGTCCACTGGGAGGTGGAACTTGGTCTTGGACTTGTTGAAGTCCTTCTTGTAAAGAGCATCACTAGCAATCCTAGCTGAGTTCAAGGCCAGCATGAGCAGAGGATCATCTTGGACACTGCGGGCTCCAATGTGATGACCAACTTGCTTACGATAACCAGCCTTGTACTTGTACTGCATTTAAAAGACGATCAAATCGGTTGTAAGTATTACTCTTAAATAGCAGAAAGGAGATTTAAAAGCCAAAATGTAAGATCTTTCACAATATAAGAGAGATTCAGAAAACCGACAGAAAAAACATGACTTTGTGATGTCTTACGTCACTAGCTATATCTCTGGATGCTTTAGCCTTGATCACAGACACGGCATCCTCTTTGATGTGGTATGCCTTCGCCTTTGTAGCATCCCAGCTTTTGGAATACATTTTCTGCAACAGGACAAAAAAGGTGGAAATTCAAAACACAATAATTTAATAGCATAACAAGCTCACAAAACAGAATTCATTTGAGTAATACTCAGCAATCTTGCATGTGACTTTGCTTACATTGCTGACAGCAATGGCATTGGCTCTGGACAACTCGATGGCAGGTGTATCTGGCATGATGTGGATAGATGTCTTATCTTTGTCCCATGCTTCTCTGTATTTTCTCTGTGAACAAAATCATAATTCAAATAATAAAGAAAAATTAAAGGCACACATTGATGCAAAAATAAAAAAGACAGCTATTACATTCATTTAGCACAATTTTACATAATAATAATAATAATTTCTTTCAAAAATGAGAAATTTTGATTAGTAATTCACTGCAATTAAAATAAAAAATATATTTTCACCCGATGTTTGTGCTATTCATTTCCATGCTTATTAGAGCAACTGTCTTCAACCTTAGTTTAGCTGTAATTTGAACATTAACATTTGAGTACCAATGAAAAGGAAAGGCAATAATCTTACATCGCTGAGGATGTCAGCATTTTGCTTGGCTAGGACAATAACAGGCAGGTCCACAGCACTGGTGAACTTGACTGTGCTGGGAAGCTGGCGGTACAGTTTCTCATTAAGGATAGCCTGAGCATTCTTGGCTTTGACGACGTCAATGGATCCTTGCGTCATCCAGCCACATCCACGGATCCACTCAAGATCAGCTTTGTACACAGCCTAGTTTGAAAGTTTACCAAAAAAAAAGGTATTCATGTAGTAACATAACAAACCAATGTAAACAGCACAGTGTGTCAAACAGGGCATATACGTACATCACTGCGGAGGTCATAGACCTTCCTGGCCTGGACGACGTCATTGGAGTCGGGCAGGCAGGTCCAGTTGTGCAGGTAGGTTCTGTAGTTGGCATCATTGACCTGGATCTGGCACTTCTTGGCCAACTCAAGAGACAGCAGGTCCACTGGGAGGTTGAACTTGGTCTTGGATTTGTTGAAATCTTTCTTGTAGAGAAGATCACTAGCAATCTTGCCTGAGTTCAAGGCCAGCATGGTCAAGGGATCATCATGGATGCTGAGGGCTCCAATGTGGTGCCCTTGCTGCTTCCTGTATCCAGCTTTGTACTTGTACTGCAAGGTTTTAATACATAAAAGAAATTTGAGCACTATCGCTTAACAGTGTGTGCCTAATTTATTAGGTAAGATCCACACTGAGACTTACATCACTAATGATGTCTCTGGATGCCTTGGCAGATTTCACTGCGACAGCATCCTTAGGCAGGAAGTAGCCCTTCTTAAGGCTGTTCTCATAGTCTTGACGGTAATATTTCTGCAAAGAACACGATGAAGCAACACATACCGATTTAACAGGATTAAAAACTAAACTAGTGTGCATTTATTTCTGATTTAGTGGTCACTATAAAACAGTGCTGCATTACTTACGATGCTTGTGTTTAGTTTGTTTTGTTTTCCAAGAACAATCTCAGGTGTGTCTGGCATGACATGGATATGAATCTTCTCCTTATTCCAGGCATCAAAATATGCATTCTGCAATGCAATAATAATGAAGACAAAAAGTTAAGACACATTCACCTCTGGTCTACAAAATCTCAGCCCGCAACAGTGATTTCAAACAGCAATTTATTTTTACCTTTTAAACAGATTAGTAAAATTTTCTAGGAAAATAATACCTTGTCCATGATCTTGGCATTAGCTTGGGCAAGAGCAAAAGGTACGGCATCTGTCTTGCTTGTATACTTGAAGTTGCTTGGATGCTGTCGGTACTTCCTTTCACTCAAAATCTCAGCAGCCTTTTTAGCCTTCTCTACATCAACTGAGCCTATGGGTACCCATCCTGTACCTCTGATCCATTCCATATCAGCCTTATACACAGCCTGATGGCAGAAAATACATGAGAAACAGTAAAACAATGCTGGTAGTATACGGTAGGTCTATTTATTATGGTTACAAATTAAAATTCCACAGAAACTCACATCACTCTGAAGATCGTAGACCTTCCTGGCCTGGACAACATCATTGGAGTCGGGCAGGCAGGTCCAGTTGTGCAGGTAGGTTCTGTAGTTGGCGTCATTAACTTGGATCTGGCACTTCTTGGCCAGCTCAAGAGACAGCAGGTCCACTGGGAGGTGGAACTTGGTCTTGGACTTGTTGAAGTCTTTCTTGTAAAGAGCATCACTAGCAATCCTAGCTGAGTTCAATGCCAGCACGATCAGAGGATCATCTTGGACACTGAGGGCCCCGATGTGATGACCAACTTGCTTACGATAACCAGCCTTGTACTTGTACTGTGAAAAATCCATTAAAACATTCATTACAGTCTGATAAGTAAACCGTAATCACATGCTGGGGCCAATAAGGAAAAAAAACTTACATTACTAGCAATGACACATGATGCTTTAGTTTTAAAGATGGCTTCTATTTATATTTATGCAATCAAATAGAAAATGCATCAGTGAGCTTGTAATATAAGCAAATGTTAAGAAGGTATATACACACATCACTAATAATGTCTCTGGATGCTTTAGCAGCTTTGATGGCGACAGCATCAGGTTTGAGGTCGTAGCCTTTCCTGAAGATGTCCTCAACTGCTTGTCTGTACAGTTTCTGAAAGCACAATTTTTATTTCTTTTTTTAAGTGAAATAATGAATAGGAATAATCTTGGAAATCAAACAGAATGCATGAATTTGAGATGTTTAGTTTACCAACTAAAACAAATATATAATGAAGAAAGAACAATCATTCGAGAAGTGATACTTACCCTACTATTGTTCATTGCATTAGCACTTGAAAGCACAATCTCTGGGGTATCAGCAGGGATATGGATCTTGACCTTGTCACTCTCCCATGCTGCATGGTATTGATGCTAAAATGGAAAAAAAGGTTTTAGTGACAATTTCAATACTGTGAGAGTTGTTATTGTGGAACATTAAAACATCCTGCAATGAATCAAAATGAACATAAAAAGAATCATTTATACAAAGTAATATATATCACAATTTTTGTAGTAATTGATATTGTCACTAAATTGTTCTCCAGAGATTTTGTTGACAGTTTAGTTGGATTCCAGTCATGTGACTTTTTTTATTCAACTAACCTGATCCATAATTTGGGCATTTGCCTTGGCAAGCACCAAAGGCATGGACTGCATGTCTTGTGTATATTTAAATGTGTCTGGTTTCTGTCTGTAGAGCCGATCACTAAGGATCTCAGCTGCTTTCTTTGCTTTCAGGACATCAAGCGAGCCAATCGGTACCCATCCTACACCGGTCATAAACTCCATGTCTGCTTTGTACACAGCCTGAGATGGAGAAGAAATGTGACTTTTCAGAACTATACAGTTCATATATAATTAAAAAATCTAAATCTGTACAAATATTTAAATGACATTTTAGTTTTACAAACGTACATCGCTACGCAGGTCATACACTTTTCTGGCCTGGACAACATCGTTGGAGTCGGGCAGGCAGGTCCAATTGTGCAGGTAGGTTCTGTAGTTGGCATCATTAACTTGGATCTGGCACTTCTTGGCCAGCTCAAGAGACAGCAGGTCCACTGGGAGGTGGAACTTGGTCTTGGACTTGTTGAAGTCCTTCTTGTAAAGAGCATCACTAGCAATCCTAGCTGAGTTCAATGCCAGCATGAGCAGAGGATCATCCTGGACACTGTGGGCTCCAATGTGATGGCCAACTTGCTTACGATAACCAGCCTTGTACTTGTACTAAAATGTTTTAAAAGGGTTTCAGAAGGTAATTGTGCACAGTAAAGTGTGTATGACACAAACCATGTTCTAATAAGCACTCACATCACTGATGATATCCCTGGAAGCCTTAGCTGCTTTGATAGCAATTGCATCACCACGCAAATCATAGCCCTTCTTCTTAGATTCTTCGTTGGCAAGTTTATACCTTTTCTAAAAATAGAAAATATTTTACAAAGTGCGTCGTTACTACAGATTTAAAGAGTTTTAGGGAAAAAAAAATAAACATTTTCAGACATATACATACCTCACTGTAGTTTATATTGTTCTGCTTTGCCAACAGAACTTCCATACAGTCAGGCATATGGAAGCCTTAGCTGCTTTGATAGCAATTGCATCACCACGCAAATCATAGCCCTTCTTCTTAGATTCTTCGTTGGCAAGTTTATATCTTTTCTAAAAATAGAAAATATTTTACAAAGTGCGTCGTTACTACAGATTTAAAGAAAAAAAATAAACATTTTCAGACATATACATACCTCACTGTAGTTTATATTGTTCTGCTTTGCCAACAGAACTTCCATACAGTCAGGCATAACATGGATTTTGGTTTTATCCTTGTCCCAGGCTTCAGTATAAAGTTTCTATAATAGTTGATTAAAATTAGATGTCAAATGTTTAAACCTTTAAGCTATTTGTGACGGTTCTTGTGTTGAGAAACCTAATGAACAGATTTACCTTGTTGATATTAGAAGCATTATTTTTAGCTAAAACTATTGGCATGTCTTCAGTTGTAAGGGTGAACTTGAAGTTGCTTGGGTGTTGGCGGTACTTCCTTTCACTCAGGACTTCTCCCGCCTTTTTCACTTTCTCGACATCTACTGAACCAATGGGAACCCATCCGATTCCTTGAAGCCATTTCAGATCAGCCTTGTACACCGCCTAAATGGTCATGCAAAAAATAATGAAAAATTTAAAATAACTATAAAAAGAAACAATACAAGTCAAGAGGACTTTCAGCAGACTTACGTCACTCTGGAGGTCATAAACTTGTCTGGCCTGAACAACATCACTGGAGTCGGGCAGGCAGGTCCAGTTGTGCAGGTAGGTTCTGTAGTTGGCATCATTGACCTGGATCTGGTTCTTCTTGGCCAACTCAAAAGATAACATGTCTACTGGGAGGTGGAACTTGGTCTTAGACTTGTTGAAGTCCTTCTTGTAAAGAGCATCACTAGCAATCCTAGCTGAGTTCAAGGCCAGCATGATCAGAGGATCATCCTGGATGCTCAGGGCTCCAATGTGATGGCCAACTTGCTTACGATAACCAGTCTTGTACTTGTACTACAGTTGAAGGATTAAAGAACAATAAGAATGGATAAAACTCAAAATAAGCATTTTGACACATTCTGGACCATGAACTATAAGACTATGAATGAAGAACAAAAGAAGAGAGCACTCACATCACTGATAATATCCCGAGAGGCTTTAGCTGCTTTAATAGAAATGGCATCACCACGCATGTCATAGCCTTTCTTTTTGGACTCCTCATTGGCAAGCTTGTATTGTTTCTGGAGTAGGATTAAGTAGACAAGGAAATATGAGGAAAAACAAATATAACTTCCCATCTTCAAATTGAGACTTGAAATGAATGACCCACCACACTGTAGTTAACTTTGTTCTGTTTAGCAAGCACAATCTCCATTGTATCTGGCATGACGTGGATCTTGGTCTTATCCTTTTCCCAAGCATCGACATAGCTTTTCTATAATGTAAGAAAAAATTAAAATAAATATATATATATGCAAATTATCTTTACAAATTACATTGGAAAAGAGAAGAAAATTATGCTATTGATCAAAGCAGGCTACCTTGTTCATGATGTTTGCATTGGCTTTGGCCAAGACCAGTGGCATGTCTTCGGTTGTGCAAGTGAACTTGAAGTTGCTTGGGTGCTGACGATACTTCCTTTCATTTAGGATTTCTCCAGCCTTTTTCACTTTCTCAACATCAACCGAACCAATGGGAACCCATCCGAGACCTTGAAGCCATTTTAAATCAGCTTTGTACACAGCCTGAGAACATAGCTTTTCTATAATGTAAGAAAAAATAAAAATAAATATATATATATATGCAAATTATCTTTACAAATTACATTGGAAAAGAGAAGAAAATTATGCTATTGATCAAAGCAGGCTACCTTGTTCATGATGTTTGCATTGGCTTTGGCCAAGACCAGTGGCATGTCTTCGGTTGTGCAAGTGAACTTGAAGTTGCTTGGGTGCTGACGATACTTCCTTTCATTTAGGATTTCTCCAGCCTTTTTCACTTTCTCAACATCAACCGAACCAATGGGAACCCATCCGAGACCTTGAAGCCATTTTAAATCAGCTTTGTACACAGCCTGAGAACAAAAATATCATAATAATTAGCATTAAGTAGTGAACCAATATGTCTCTATAAACTAGGTATTTGAAACATGGAGATCTTACTTCCCAAATCCTGAATGTAGCATGTCTACATGTAGCATACTTACGTCACTCTGGAGGTCATAGACTTGTCTGGCCTGGACAACATCGTTGGAGTCGGGCAGGCAGGTCCAGTTGTGCAGGTAAGTTCTGTAGTTGGCGTCATTAACTTGGATCTGGCACTTCTTGGCCAACTCAAGAGACAGCAGGTCTACTGGGAGGTGGAACTTGGTCTTGGACTTGTTGAAGTCTTTCTTGTAAAGAGCATCACTAGCAATCTTAGCTGAGTTCAAGGCCAGCATGAGCAGAGGATCATCCTGGATGCTCAGGGCTCCAATGTGATGACCAACTTGCTTACGATAACCAGTCTTGTACTTGTACTACAGTTGAAGGATTAAAGAACAATAAAAATAGTTAAAAATCGAAATGAACATTTTTAAATATTCTGGACCATAAACTATGAGACTATGAATGAAGAACAAAGGAAGAGAGTGCTCACATCACTGATGATATCCCTAGAGGCTTTAGCTGCTTTTATAGGAATGGCATCACCACGCATGTCATAGCCTTTCTTTTTGGACTCCTCATTGGCAAGCTTGTATTGTTTCTGGAGTAGGATTAAGTAGACAAGGAAATATGAGGAAAAACAAATATAACTTCCCATCTTCAAATTGAGACTTGAAATGAATGACCCACCACACTGTAGTTAACTTTGTTCTGTTTAGCAAGCACAATCTCCATTGTATCTGGCATGACGTGGATCTTGGTCTTATCCTTTTCCCAAGCATCGACATAGCTTTTCTATAATGTAAGAAAAAATTAAAATAAATATATATATATGCAAATTATCTTTACAAATTACATTGGAAAAGAGAAGAAAATTATGCTATTGATCAAAGCAGGCTACCTTGTTCATGATGTTTGCATTGGCTTTGGCCAAGACCAGTGGCATGTCTTCGGTTGTGCAAGTGAACTTGAAGTTGCTTGGGTGCTGACGATACTTCCTTTCATTTAGGATTTCTCCAGCCTTTTTCACTTTCTCAACATCAACCGAACCAATGGGAACCCATCCGAGACCTTGAAGCCATTTTAAATCAGCTTTGTACACAGCCTGAGAACAAAAATATCATAATAATTAGCATTAAGTAGTGAACCAATATGTCTCTATAAACTAGGTATTTGAAACATGGAGATCTTACTTCCCAAATCCTGAATGTAGCATGTCTACATGTAGCATACTTACGTCACTCTGGAGGTCATAGACTTGTCTGGCCTGGACAACATCGTTGGAGTCGGGCAGGCAGGTCCAGTTGTGCAGGTAAGTTCTGTAGTTGGCGTCATTAACTTGGATCTGGCACTTCTTGGCCAACTCAAGAGACAGCAGGTCTACTGGGAGGTGGAACTTGGTCTTGGACTTGTTGAAGTCTTTCTTGTAAAGAGCATCACTAGCAATCTTAGCTGAGTTCAAGGCCAGCATGAGCAGAGGATCATCCTGGATGCTCAGGGCTCCAATGTGATGACCAACTTGCTTACGATAACCAGTCTTGTACTTGTACTGTTTAAAAGAAAGAGCAGTTTAAGGCATAAGATAGTTCAATGGAATGTTTTGTTCAATTTTAGATGCAATAACTCAAAATACTCACATCACTGGCAATGTCCCTGGAGGCCTTGGCTGCTTTGATGGGGATGGCATCATTTCGCATGTCATAGCCCTTCTTTTTAGCTTCCTCATTTGCAAGCTTGTATAATTTCTTAGAAAAAAATAAAATGAGCAGTTATTTTATTTTTAAAAAAAAAGAAAATAATATGTATTAATTATCAACCAAGAACATCCATTATGCACCACTAAGAGGCCAATGTTGTGTCATACTTACCAGACTGTAGTTGGCCTTGTTTTGACTTGCGAGTACAATGTCCATAGCATCTGGCATAATATGGATCTTTGTCTTGTCTTTGTTCCATGCATCAACATATAGTTGCTGTTAAATAAGAGTATGAAATTTAAAAAAGAAATCACAACCACACAATAACTGTCTAAAATAGATGTAATAAAATGTAATTAGAAAATTATGCATATGCACGTATGCATATGTTTTATCAGTTCAGAAGTTACCTTGTTCATGACATCGTTATTGGCTTTAGCCAAGGCTATCGGCATGTCTTGAGTTGTCATGGTGTATTTAAAGTTGCTTGGGTGTTGACGGTACTTCCTTTCACTCAGGACTTCTCCCGCCTTTTTCACTTTCTCAACATCCACTGAACCAATGGGGACCCATCCGAGACCTTGAAGCCATTTCAGATCAGCCTTGTAAACAGCCTAAAAACAGACACATATATGGAAAGAATACCTGTTAGTGACTCCATACAGTTTATTCATCAGTATCTCTCTTTCTCAACATCAAGAAGACAACAGAGACCCAAGCAATTCCTCTTTCTATTACATACTAGCTACCAACTAAAATATAAAACAGAAAGTCAATTCAATGAAGATACAGAAATTGATCAATTAATAGTGCTTAACAGAAGCTGGATAACACGTACATCACTCTGGAGGTCATAGACTTGTCTGGCCTGGACAACATCGTTGGAGTCGGGCAGGCAGGTCCAGTTGTGCAGGTAGGTTCTGTAGTTGGCATCATTGACCTGGATCTGGTTCTTCTTGGCCAACTCAAAAGCTAACATGTCTACTGGGAGGTGGAACTTGGTCTTGGACTTGTTGAAGTCCTTCTTGTAAAGAGCATCACTAGCAATCCTAGCTGAGTTCAAGGCCAGCATGAGCAGAGGATCATCTTGGATGCTCAGGGCTCCAATGTGATGACCAACTTGCTTACGATAACCAGTCTTGTACTTATACTGCAAAAAAAGAAAATATTCTCAGTGTAGCAAATGAGAGTATATACTCAATGCGACATACACTGCTTAATCAGTTTGTTGTACTTACGTCACTAGCAATGTCCCTGGAGGCTTTGGCTGCGATGACAGATATGGCATCATTGCGCAAATCATAACCCTTCTTCTTGGCCAGTTCATTGGCAAGTTTATATTGTTTCTGCAGAGCAAATCAGACAAAATATTTGAACAAACTTGGCAACAGCAGAATATCAATTCAAACCAATGCTCATCGCTCTTGATCTATAAACAGTGTGACTCAGAGTTAATATTTAGAATATTTGCTTAAATGTAAAAAAGAATACTCTTAAATACAACTGAATACTCGACTCTAAATTTGAAATACTGACCTCACTATAGTTGACTTTGTTTTGCTTTGCAAGAACCACATCCATTGCATCTGGCATGATGTGAATCTTTGTTTTATCATTGTTCCAGGCTTCAACATATTTTGACTGTCAGAATGAAGAGAGAATTAAGCATCAAAACTGATGTCACAAACAATATTTTAGACAGTTTTCATATGGGTCTAGATGTCAAATGTAAAGATACCTTGTTCATAATTTCATTATTGGCTTTGGCCAAGACCAGTGGCATGTCTTCAGTTGTACAAGTAAACTTAAAGTTGCTTGGGTGCTGACGATACTTCTTTTCACTTAGTATTTCTTCAGCCTTTTTCACTTTCTCAACATCAACCGAACCAATGGGGACCCATCCGAGACCTTGAAGCCACTTCAGATCTGCCTTATACACCGCCTAAGAACAGACATGTATGGAAAGAGTGCTTACAAGCTTCATAAGGATGGGCCATCAGCCTTATTTATATATGTACAAAACTGCAGTAAAATCATACTTACGTCACTTTGGAGGTCATAGACTTGTCTGGCCTGGACAACATCATTGGAGTCAGGCAGGCAGGTCCAGTTGTGCAGGTAGGTTCTGTAGTTGGTATCATTGACCTGGATCTGGTTCTTCTTGGCCAACTCAAAAGATAACATGTCTACTGGGAGGTGGAACTTGGTCTTGGACTTGTTGAAGTCTTTCTTGTAAAGAGCATCACTTGCAATCCTAGCTGAGTTCAAGGCCAGCATGAGCAGAGGATCATCCTGGATGCTGAGGGCTCCAATGTGATGACCAACTTGCTTACGATAACCAGCCTTGTACTTGTACTGTTTAAAGTTCATTAAAATATCCATTACATTTTGATAAGTACACAGTAATTAAATACTGGGTCCAATAAGAAAAAAAAAACGTACATTACTAGCAATGGCACATGACGCTTTTGCAGCTTGAATTGGGATGGCGTCAGCACGTAGATCGTAACCCTTTTTCTTTGCTAGTTCATTGGCAAGTTTGTATAGTTTCTAAAGAAGAATATGAAAAGATTATTTAAATGCTGTGACTTGGTGACAATTACTGTTTGCAATCAATCAGCAATGAACCTGGTGACATCACTAACCTCACTGTAGTTAACTTTATTTTGACGAGCAAGAGCCACTTCCATTGAATCTGGCATAATGTGAATCTTGGTTTTGTCCTGTTCCCAGGCTGCAGTATACTTTTGCTGAAGGAAGAATAAATGGGTCCATTTTAAATTATTCTGAAACATTCTGACTAATGAAACTATTAATTATGTGTCTCTAAAAAGAACGTCAATTGACCAAACCTAATAATCAAGATAATCAAAAGCAAAGCTCAGTGTCAAGTCAAATGGTTTCAACTTTCACCTTGTTTTTGATTTCATTATTGGCCGAGGCTAGGACCAGATCCATGGAATCCATGTCTTTAGTGAACTTGAAGTTACTGGGATGTGTGCGGTACAGTTTCTCGCAGCCTATCCGGCCAGCAGTCTTCGCTTTCTCCACATCCAGAGATCCAATGGGAATCCATCCAATTCCTTTGATGTAATTGTTATACTCAGATTTGTAGATGTTCTGCAGAATTAGAGAGGATCAATATAAAATCAAATTGAAAAAGAATAGCATTTTATAAAAATCAAAACATTAAAGGGGTCATATGATGCGATTTCAAGTTTTCCTTTCTCTTTGGAGTGTTACAAATACAACGTCACAATCTCGACTCACATCACTTGCGATCGCCTGCATGTTACGGGCTAGCTCTAGGTTCATGGCATCAGGTAGAACATTATAATGTGTAATGATCTGCCTATATCCAGCATAGGTTTGAGCAGCCGTAGCCTGCTTAGCATGAACAACACTCAGCATGTCCACAGGAGAATGGTATTTCAGCTTGGACTTGTGATAATCCTTCTTGTATAGTTTATCACTCTGTATCCTAGCCACCTCCATGTAGTGCACCAGCAAGGGGTCGTCCTGGAGGCTACGGAAGCCAACATAATGTCCTCTTGCTTTGTTGTACTCCTTTTTGTATTTGTACTGTAATGAGAATATTTGTAGAAGTCAGAAATGGTAATACTTGGATAGCACTAGTGACAGAAACATTTGATTATCTATTTGAGTAACTCACATCACTGGCAATGTTTGTGGAGGCCCTAGCTGCAACCACTGATACAGCATCTGCCTTGAGGTCATAACCTTTCTTCTTCAGGGCTTCCAGTCCTGCTTTGTAGGCTTTCTGTATTCAAAACAGCACAAGTTATACATGTTATTAATGCTTTTAAGGGGATATTTAGTGACTCTTTCCAGAAGCTACATTGTTACATCAGTAGGTGGTGAAATATTTGAGTTTTTTTTTTATAAATAACTGATAAATTCACTCAAATGGTTCATTCAAATAGACTGAATGATTCAGAAAGGAAACACCTCTAACAATAATATTGTTAATATTCTGCAAATACATAGAATACACCTACCTCACTGATGTTGACTGCATTAGCCTTTGCAAGAATGATTTCAGGACTGTCAGGCATGATATGGATATTTATCTTGTCCTTGTTCCAAGCGTCTGTGTATGCTTGCTAAAGTAAAACACATTCAAAATATTATTTATTGATCAGACCAGCCAAATAATCCATTAAAAATTTCATCAATTAGATTAGATGCACATACATCTCAGAAATGATGGATCATTACTATACTGGTTTTTTAAAAAGTGTAATCTACCTTGTCCATGATCTTATTATTGGCACTAGCCAATGCAAGGTCCATAGAATCCATAAGTTTGTGGAACTTGTAGTTGGAGGGGTGAGTGCGGTAGTTGTGTTCACTCTGGATCTTTCCTCCAACCTTTGCGGTCTCTACAGCCAGTGAACCAATGGGCACCCAACCCATACCCTTCATGGTGGCGTTGTACTCACTCTTGTACTCAACCTGGGAGACAACAGTTATACTGTTAAATCCTACTTCAATACTTCAGTCCCACAGGTTATGAGCTACCCCCTCCATATAGGATGTGTGGACCTAAAAGAGGATGGACTTACATCACTGGAGCTGATGTTCATGGAGCGAGCTAACGCCAGGTTCATGGCATCGGGCAGCAGGGTGTAATTATGGAAATGCTGCTTGTATCCTGCATATGTCTGAACCTTTGAGGCATTTTTGGCCTGCACAACACTCAACATGTCCACAGGGGTGTGATACTTCAGCTTGATCTTGTGGTAATCCTTCTTGTAGTTCCTCTCGCTCTGCATCTTAGCCACCTCCATGTAGTGCACCAGCAAGGGATCGTCCTGGAGGCTACGGAAGCCAACATGGTGGCCTTTCGCTTTCTCATATGCCAGCTTATACTTGTACTGTCATGACAGAAACATGGATTTATCAGAAAGGATGAATGATTTTGCAAACATTTATTAGAAAGTACTGAGACGAAAATAGATAGGATAATAGGATACTTACATTGCTAGCAATATTCCTGCTGGCTTTGGCAGCCACAATCGAAATAGCATCTGGTTTGAGGTCATAGCCTTTCTTATTCATTTCCTCAAGGCCAGCTTTGTAGAGTTTCTGAAAATACACAGAAAAGGCAATGGAATATACTACACTGGACTTTTTTTTTTTTGCTTTGATTATTAATTAGGATGTTTTGAATGAATGCAATAGTTAGTCTTACCTGGCTCATGTTCAATGCATTGGCCTTGGCCAGGACAATATCAGGACTGTCAGGCATCACATGAATCTTGAGCTTGTCCTTTTCCCAGGCAGCATGATAGGATTTCTGCAACCAAAAGCATTTAAATTTTCATAGATTGACCTTTAATTTTAAACCAGTCAAACCAATGAAAATACCCTGAATCCAGACTTGCCTTGTCCATGATCTTATTATTAGCACTAGCCAATGTGAGGTCCATAGAATCCATAAGTTTGTGGAACTTGTAGTTGGAGGGGTGAGTGCGGTAGTTGTGTTCACTCTGGATCTTTCCTCCAACCTTTGCGGTCTCTACAGCCAGTGAACCAATGGGCACCCAACCCATACCCTTCATGGTGGCGTTGTACTCACTCTTGTACTCAACCTGGGAGACAACAAAGGTAATGTTTAATACCTTTGTTAAACCCATGGTACCCCCTCCAAATAGGATGTGTGGATCTAAAAGAGGATGGACTTACATCACTGGAGCTGAGGTTCATGGAGCGAGCTAACGCCAGGTTCATGGCATCAGGCAGCAGGGTGTAATGATGGAAATGCTGCTTGTATCCTGCATATGTCTGAACCTTTGAGGCGCTTTTGGCCTGCAAAACACTCAACATGTCTACAGGGGAGTGGTACTTCAGCTTGATCTTGTGGTAATCCTTCTTGTAGTTCCTCTCGCTCTGCATCTTAGCCACCTCCATGTAGTGCACCAGCAAGGGGTCATCCTGGAGGCTACGGAAGCCAACGTGGTGGCCCTTTGCTTTCTCATATGCTTTTTTGTATTGGTACTGTGATCAAAGAACAGTGGATTCTAATCAGTCCAGTACATTCATTATGTAATTGCAAATGTTTTTTTTTTTTTGGTACTGCTGAACAGCAACTTTTTAATTCGAGATACATTTTACACTTACGTTGCTGGCAATGTGTCTTCCTTGTTTAGCAGCAACAATGGAAATAGCATCAGCTTTCATGTCATAGCCTTTAGCAATGTCCACAAGCCACTGTGCCTTGTAGTGTGACTGTAAAATAAGAGTTTTTTAACATCTACATTATTTTAGAGTTTCATTGGTAATAATAATATTACCGATAATAAATACAATTTTATAAATAAAATGCAATTAACTGATAAGGTCATAGCATAAAAACAATGAAAAATATAAAGAAAATAAATGACATGAGGGAAAAAAACAAAACAAAACCTGCAAGAGACTTTAGTGGTAACACAATTAGGCTGAATGCACTGAGGACTGTTAATGCAATAGCTAACCTGAACTAATAATGAAACAATGTTAACACAGAATCCTATTAAAAAGTGTTTCTCGTTTATTTAATTTAGATTTGATATGCTTTTGTACTCACCTCACTCATAGTCTGAGCATTATATTTGGCCTGCAGGAACTCTGGGGCATCAGCTGGTAGATTGTAGGTGTGCATACATTTCTCTCCAGAGGCTTTATAGGCAGCCTAAAATGAAATGAAACGCAAACAAGAACCCATAAATCAGTTTTAGATCATCATTCTGGTTATCATTCACAATAAATTATTGAAGTATACTTACTTTATTTTGTAGTTTTGTGTTGTTCATGGCCAAAACCATGTTCATCTGATCTGTTAGACTGGTAAATTTTAGCGTACTGGGGTGAATTCTGTATGACCTCTCATCAAGGGCTTTATTGGCAGCCTTGGCCTTCTCAACATCTATAGAACCTATGGGAACCCAGCCTGCTCCTTTGAAGATGTTGTTGAAATCTGATTTGTACAAATTCTATGGATAAAATGTGATCTGTTAATCATTTTGTCAAAACAGCAATCATCCTAGGTTTAAGTATCGTCATAGCCTTATTTAGTTGTGCTTACATCACTCTGGATCTCCATCATGTTGCGAGTCAGTTCAACGTGCATGGCATCAGGCAGCAGGGTGTAATTATGGAAATGCTGCTTGTATCCTGCATATGTCTGAACCTTTGAGGCGTTTTTGGCCTGCACAAAACTCAACATGTCCACAGGGGAGTGGTACTTCAGCTTGATTTTGTGGTAATCCTTCTTGTAGTTCCTCTCGCTCTGCATCTTAGCCACCTCCATGTAGTGCACCAGCAAGGGATCGTCCTGGAGGCTACGGAAGCCAACATGGTGACCTCTAGCCTTCTGATAAGCAAGCTTATACTTGTACTATAAAAAAACAACACAACACAGTTGCATAAAAGTCAACAAGGCACTCCAACAATTTAAATATAAATAAATTAAATGTATGCTTGCTTACATCACTGGCAATATCCCTAGAGGATTTCGCAGCAACAATAGGAATGGCATCATGCTTCATTTGATGTCCTTTCAGAAGATCCTGCTTGTGTGCGTAGGTATAGTATGTCTGCAAAGGCAAAAGAAAACACAAGCTTCCTTGATACTGTTATCCATCTCATTGTCATATACAGTATTAAAATATGCAGCATTCTTACCTTGCTGATATTGACAGCGTTGTATTTGGCTTGCAGAAGCTCTGGTGCATCAGCAGGGAGATGGTAAGTGTGCATGAACTTCTCACCACTGGCTTTGTACAGCCTCTGGAAAACAAAATTGACATGATTCAGAAAGTAAACATAAATGAAACATATTTAACCTTCATTATGGACATTCATCAAGGACACCAAACAACAGCATGCATTTGTCCCTCACATCGCTTAGCTGCTGTGCATTCAGTTTGGCTTGTTCCATGACTGGGGTGTCCAGAACGCTGGTGAACTTGATAGTGTCTGGGTGCTGCCTGTACTTCTTCTCATTGAGAGCTGCACCAGCAGTCTTTGCCTTTTCAACATCCAGAGAACCGATGGGGATCCAGCCAGTGCCCTTTACGTAGTTCTCATAATCCTGTTTATACTGGACCTAATGGGATTAAACAGGGCATATCAGTTAACACATTTACAGAAATACAAACTTTAAAACATCTTTTATACTATATTATTTATATTTTAACATATTGTAAGATATAATTTATTCCTGTGATGGCAAAGCTGAATTTTCAGCAGAACATTACTCTTCAGTGTCACATGATCTAACAGAAATCATACTAATAAGCTTGTGGAAAGTGTGATACGTTGTTTTCTGGATACTTTGATGAATAGAAATAGAATAGAAAAATAGATATAATGTATCCTTGCTGAATAAAAGTATTCATTTCTTTTTTTCTTAATTTTCTTACTAAGTCCAAATTTTTTAATTGTATTGTATATGGTCTGTATAATCAGTGTTAAGAAAAAAAGTATGATGCTACAGTTTGTGTAAATCTAGATTTGAGAGTCACATAAAGAGTTTAAGATGATTAAATGTTTCTTACATCACTGGAGCTGAGGTTCATGGAGCGAGCTAACTCCAGGTTCATGGCATCGGGCAGCAGGGTGTAATGATGGAAATGCTGCTTGTATCCTGCAAATGTCTGAACCTTTGAGGCATGTTTGGCATGCGCGACACTCAACATGTCCACAGGTGTATGGTACTTCAGTTTAGCCTTGTGATAATCCTTCTTGTATAGTTTATCACTCTGTATTCTAGCCACCTCCATGTAGTGCACCAGCAAGGGGTCGTCCTGGAGGCTACGGAAGCCAACATGGTGGCCTCTGTCCTTCATATACTTCTTCTTATACTGAACCTGAAAGGTATGGTAAATCAACAGTTTATTTAATATTATTCTGTTCCACACTGCAGTTTTCTGTCCATCTGTCTCCTTTATGGACTTATGAAAGGATCTCTTACATCACTAGCAGCATGTCTTGCTGCCTTTGCAGCTTGTACAGAGATGGCGTCAGGCTTCAAATCATACCCCTTTGCAATAGTCTTCAGCCATTCAAGCTTATAGTATTTCTGAAAAGCAGAGATGCAATAGATATACAGAGTCACCAACTTTGCAAAAAATAATATGCCAAATACCATGAAACATTAGGGCATTTTCACTTACATCGCTTATGTTGTAGGCATTACACCTGGCCTGAAGTAACTCTGGGACATCAGGAGGCAGGGAGTTTTTCTGAAGGATTTTATCCAGACCTTTCTTATAGTGCAGCTATAGTGGAGAAAATATTCACAGATCACATTAACGTGCTGGTTTAGCATTTATTCAGAGCAACATTTAACCATGTTAATTGTTTTTGCTTACATCACTTCTTATCATCTGGTTGACTTTAGCCTGCAGCTGGAGAGGGTGGTTATCTATAGCTGTAAAAGGTACGGTGTCTGGAAGCTGCCTGTATTTTTTCTAAGTAAGAGAAAGAAATTTTAAAGTTACATTATTGATGACCATAAAAATCAATTCTTTAAATGGGTAAAAACAGGAAGTGGCATACCTCACTTAAGATCTCCCCTGCTTTCTTGGATTTCTCAACTTCCATAGAGCCGTAAGGCACCCAAGGCGTTCCTTTGACGTAGTTATTGTATTCGTACTTGTATCCATTCTGTGGTTACAAATGACAGAAAAATCAGTAACACAAAAAATTTAAGGTATGATTGATCACCTTTTGCTATATGGACTTTGCCATGTTCATAAACATGAAAAAAAAACTTATTTAGTTTAGAAAATCCATTTAAAATGTAAATAGGCTGCACATTAAAGTCGTGTTCATAAAGACCTCATCAAATTAAATTGGTATTTGTGGCTTTATTCCATGTCTTTTTGAATAGAGAAATCATCTATATTCTGGAGTACTCTATGAAGTATGATCTTTTAGCAGATATATTCATTTAAAATTCTGTGTCTTTTTCTTTCAGGACCAAAATGGCCCAAAAATATTGATGACTAATCCTGCACTCTAAAATGTTGAATACTCAAATTCTTAAATATTAATGATACAAACCACTTCTGACTAGAATTTATTTATTTATTCCGATATAAAAGAACATCAGGCAGTCAGCTAAGAGGAAAGACAGTTAAATGCATAAATCTAAATGTAATGTAAGACTTCTGTCTATAATAGCATGGTTTGCATGGTTCGCAGCTGTGATGTTAGGCTATTGGCTATTTAAAAAAGACAATCTTTTCAATGAGGCTTTCTCACCCAACTTCATGTTTAAATAGGAAATACTTCAGTACAGGAATGACAACTGCACTTGTCAACACTGAACTTGTGAATCTGTGCTCATTCCAGTGTGTCTAGAGCAGCAGGGATCCTTACATCACTCTGAAGAGCATTGGCCTTCTTTGCCTGGTCCAGTGGTATGCTGTCATAAGGAAGGAGGTAACGATTTGGGATATTCTTATAGCCAGTCATGCTGGCAATGGCCTGAGATTTCTTAGCAAGTGTCACAAGCATCATGTCCAGTGGAGTATGGTACTTGGTCTTCATCTTCTCATAGTCTTTCTTGTACTCGCGCTGTTCAGAAATATTTCGGAGGATCAAAAAACTGACTGTTAGTACATAAAAAAACTTCACGGTTGGGTATACAAGTTATCAGTAATGCACTAGCCGTACCTCACTTTGGATCTTAGCAACATGCACTGAATGCATGATCTTAGGGTCATCTTTGATGCTGAGGGCCCCAATCATCTGTCCTCTGTTCTTCTCATATTCCTTCTTGTATTTCACCTAAAATTAAAGACCATATCAGTGTCACAATTACCTGAAATATTTTTCATTGTTTTGTTACACACTGTCATTCAAATGACCCAAATATCCCATTTACTTACATCGCTGGCGATGTTAGTGTGAGCACGGGCTGCAAGGATCGAAATTGCATCCCCTTTCACCTCAAATTTCTTTGCTTTTGCTTTTTCCCATTCAAACTTGTAACACGTCTGTGAACATGAAATAGAGAAAGTAATGCATTATGATCAGGTTTCAGTCAAATTCACTGCTATGAATGAAGATGGAATGAACTTACATCACTAAGGTTATACGCATTAACTCTAGACTGAATGAAGAAAGGGTAATCAGGAGGAAGGTAACACTTAAACTTCTCCTTCTCATACTTTTCCTTGTAGTTGAGCTGTAAAAAGGAGAAAAAGTGTCAATGATAATATATTCTACATCAAACTTATAACTATAATGGCTAGTAAAAATGTAATCTTACATATCATGTTCATACACAATTATGTATACAGTATATAGAGTCACACTGCCCTAGTAAATTTCCCAGTATTTTCCGAGTGCTCCATGATTGTGGTGTTCAATGAAGCAGGATGAGCTTGATGAACACCACTAGATGGCTTCTCACTCCTCAGTCTCAAAACGATTGGCTTTAGTTGTTTGTGTTTTTGCGTTTAGTTTGTTGTTGTCTGTGACTTACCACTTGAAATAGCACAGACAACAGCTCTAATAATATGTCTAGGGATTTACTCTATTGTCAGCGGGACTGAGATGACAACTGCGCTCTAATGAATGCTGGGATTTTTCTAGGGCAACATTTGACAAGGTCCATGAACCACCTGGTAAACTTGGTTTCTTTGGTTTTATTTAGTCATAATAATTAAAGCTTTTTACGTACATCACTCAGCTGTTTGGCGTTGATGGCAGCTTGCACTAGAACAGGTGAGTCTGTCACCTGTGTGAACTTCACCTTGTCTGGATGCTGACGATAAACTTTCTGCAAAAAGAAACACACACACACACACACACACACACACAAAAAATCACCTAATGTCAGGTTCTGTACCCACCCCATTAAAGTAGGTATATATATATATATATGTGTGTGTGTGTGTGTGTGTGTTCTTACATCTTGACATTGCTGAAGCTTCTTACTGGCTTCATATTCAGGTGTAATAGTTTGAGGGAAGAAACACTTGGCCTTCATGTCCTCATAATCAGCTTTGTAGGTTTGCTTTTAAAAGACAGTGAAAGCAAGTGTAAATACACAAATCATGTTTTTTTAATCAAGAAGATGGAAATATACACATATATACATTAGGGTAACTTACATCATTCTTCAATTCTTCCACCTTCTGGCAGTGAACTGTAAATACATCTTCATAGCTACCAACATAATGACCCTTCACCTCATTTTCATACTTTTCTTTATAACGGATCTGAGGAAAGAGAACAATATAAACTTCAGATATGCGGAAATATCAAATGTTTGTAGCAAATTATGAAATCATCACTCACATCACCGAACTTCTTCAATACACTGTCCATCTTGAATTTGGGAGTGTCGCAGTAATTGATGCTGAATCCCCGTGATTTCTCATAATTAGCTTTATACACTTTCTAGAAAAGGCAAAACAAAGGCATGTCAGCAATGAGTCAACAATTTGAGATAAACTTGATGTATTACAAGACAGAGTTGTTTAAATTCTCAAAATAACATCATGAGAAAATGATGAGAGGAAATGCTTTATAATACTCATTTTGAACACTTTAGGATCATTTTGGTTTAATGTATGTGCCAAACAGTGGCCACACAGATAGAATTACATCCAATTATCAGGTCTGATCAATTTAAATGAGCTACATATTTACACTAACTGAGTAATAAAGCTATAATCCAAACCATCATTTACTCATTAACACTATGACACCGAGCTCTGCTAAAAATCTCTTTTAGATTTTAGACAAGAACTCACTGTAACATCTTTGGTTTTGTCAATGTTGTCAGTATTTGTATTTCCTTAAATAATTTATTTCAGCTGCCTATGGCTATATTTATTATGCACAACCTTAGTAAAAACCTCTTAGACCATAAACATTTCATTTCCTTAAGATCTGGATTAACATACATCACTCAAGATGGTTCCTGCGTATCTCAGCTGTCTGAGAAGGGGGTTCTCTGTAGCAGGGAGAACATTGTAATCGGACGTTGCTTTTTTCTTCTCATAGTCCTGCTTATATTTGACCTGTTGAGGTGGAAAAATGCATACAATAAATGACAAATGAATGGTTGTGAAACCAATATGAGTCATGGGTTCTTGTAACGTTTTTTTTTTCTTTTCTTTTTTAAGTCAACACAAAATGTACACAACAAGTCCAGTAAATAAAATTGGTCTCTGTTTTGATTCTCATCCCTGGTTTCTTTTATAGCTACTGTGCATAAAAAATACTCTGGATCTAATCCTGTTTTTTCATGTCCTCACTTGTGATGCAGGCAATGAGAAATTAGTAAGCAGGGATCAACAGAGATAACCAGATCAGACATGTGAATCTCTGGACTGACTCATGATCTGTTTTAAGAGTCATCACTGGAAGGTTGTTTCCATACAATGAGAAAAGATGTTTAAAAAGTATGTCTATTGGTAAGTACTACCTCACTTTAATTTTTTAAGCTAGTTTGTTTTTTTACATTTCTTACATTTTCGAAAAAATAAAAACATTCCAAGTTTAAATGAAAAAAAAAAAAACAGATTTTCGTGTAATATCTGATTTACAGACTCCATGATATGTGTGAAGACAAAAAAGAAAAAGAAAGGAATGTAAATAAATTCCCAAAACTTACCGTACTTGCAGCTTCACGAGCCTTTTTATTGGAAGCGTATGTTGGTGTGTCTGTTTGCATAAAATAAATTTGGTCTTTCATATCTTCAAAATCAGCCGTATATTTTTTCTGGAAAGAAATCAAAATGTGACACTTAGTTTTATACAATTTTAATATTAAGAATTTTGCATAATAATAATATGCATGTTTTAATTTGATGAATGCATTTATTTGAAATATTCTATCAGAATATGTTTTGGAAAGCATGATGGATTTCTTGCACTTACGTCGCTGATGTTGTCCATAACCATTCTAGCAACAGCGACATCAAAGTAAGGGGTTTCACACCATTTGCCCTTGACGTTCTTGTTGTAATCCTCATGATATTTAAGCTGTGAAGAATTAAAGAAATGTTTTTCATTATTTCTATGGCTTACATTTCATTCCCAAAGACTTTTGCGAGCACAATCAATTTTGCAGGGACAGAAGATATTTAAATGTAATACTGTAGAATAAACCACTGAACTGCAATAGGTCTGATAGATGGAAACTAAAAAGGACCCTTTATTAACACTTCAGGAAAATGGAAATTGATTCAGAAGGCACAAAATTCAGGCAAGTCTTACATTACTACGAATGGCAAAGTTTTTCTTGGCCAGTTCAACCTCTGGGGGATCAGCCAGACATGTGTACTTTGCCTTGCGCTCATCATGGCCCTTCTTGTAAACAATCTGTGAAGGCGGTGCACAACAGATTTTTGACAACGCAACACAATTTAATGATAATTGTTTTACCTTTTCTTTAAGTTACGCAGTAAAATATAAGTAAGTTTACTCACATCACTGAGGACTTCTTGGGCCTTGGCCACCCTGCGCAGCTCTGGGCTGTCACTGTATGGATAGTACATGGTTTTATCCTCATCCCATGCCTCTGTGTACAGTTTCTGATGGGGATATTCAATCATCGTAGAGGGTGAAACAGTCAGTAATGACAGTATAAATATCACTTTAGTGCTTAAGACAGGAATCAGAGATCTACCTTGCTGTAATTTGCTGCATTCTTCACAGCAAGAACCAACTCAGGGGCATCAGGAGGAAGCAAGTACTTATCCTTAGTCTCATCCCATTTTTGCCTGTACAGAACCTAGAAAAGACATATGTAAAGAACTTATGTTATGACAATAAAAACACAAGGAAAGGAATCAGCATTACACTAGGTTGGGTGGTCACTGATGTGACACAAGCACTTACTTTGCTGATGAGGTCAGAGACGTGCTTCACGTGAGCAATCTCACGAGCCTCACCATCATAAAGGCTGGTGGTTTTGGCCTTCAGTCCTTCCATACGGTATTTCACCTGGGTTACCAAAAATATTAATGATTAGTAAAAATTTACAATATCTGCTAGAATTAAGAAGCATCTGGTTGTAGTTTATTAGGAGATCTAAATTAAGCAAAAAAAAAAAAA